ACTAACGCTGTTTGATCTCTTCAAGGAAGAACAAACCGAGCCGTATACCCGGGCTTCTTCTTTTATCTTAATCTTTTTGCTTTTCCTTTATTCGAGTGACACGTGACACAGAGTCAGCTTCGCGACGGCATCAGCTGCAGCCTCAGCGTTTGCGAAGAGCAAACACTTCAGTCAACGTCCCCGGCCGGCCGGATGCAAGCGAACGGCCAAGGGCACACACCGCCCTAGAGACAGCGAACGAAATAAAGATAGAATAATGAAAGCAATAAAATCGCCCGCCGCGCCGCTACCGCCAGACAGGAGCAACAGCGACGCGCAACGGTTTAAAGCCAATCGTGCTTGGAGAGAAGCGATTCCCGATTTCGTATGCCGTAGGCGCAGGCGCCTGCGGGGGCCATGGAATCTTGCCAAAAGAGTCTATACAGGCGGCGCGTCGAAGGAGTGGAGGGCGGTGCCGGTACAAAGAGAAGGGGTGAAAGGAGGAGGAGGGAACGTGATTATGTTACGAGTTGGGAAAGGGTGTGATTATATAGAGAGATAAGACGATCGACTGAAACAGGAAGTACGATGAGCGGGACGTTGCACCCGTTGACCTGCGTGCGCGATGAGGAAAAAAAAAAAAAACCGCTACACGTCGTCCTGCAGTTGTGGTGTTATCGCACGGTCGAGACGGCGCATGCGCACTCATCACTTTAACGGTCACGTGACGCGCCATGGTAGCACTGCACTGCGCATTACCGTGAAGACAAAGACATCCGGGGTTTTATGGGCCCAAAACCACGATACTATTATAAGGGTCACCATGGTGGAGGGCTTCGGTAATTATCATCTGTTCGTGTTCTTTCAGGGGTACAATAAAGTGTATATATATATATATATATATATATATATATATATATATATATATATATATATATATATCACATCGTACGCGTTATTCGAAGGTCGTAGGTTCGATTCCTCCTCACAGCTGGTTATTTTTTCATCCACTTTTCTTTCTTCTTATTTACATTCCATTGGTTCTTCACATATACCAAATTCAGTGTTACGGGACGTGGATGGATTACGAAGGTATGTGACTGGTGCAAACATGATAATCACAATATGCATGTCATGTAAAAACATGACTTTTCTCTTATTTCATTGAACGACGGTCTCGTATTGGCAGACTTGGTGTGTTTAGGTTGTATAAGAGGGACAATTAATCAGCTGCCCGCTCATAATAAGTTCACGTGCTACGTGACGCCAAACATGCGCATAAGAGTGTTTTCACACTCGTCGTTTGGCTTATAGATGGCGCTGACTGTCACTCCTACTTCTAAATTCACATGTAAAAAAACCCAAAAAAAGTGGATGGAGGGAAGGCCGCTGTGGTAGCTCAGTGATTAGAGCATCGAACGCGTTATTCGAAGGTTGTAGGTTCGATTCCTGCTCACAGCTGGTTATTTTTTCATCCACTTTTCTTTCTTCTTATTTACATTCCATTGGTTCTAATAACTTCCCCTGTACATTCCTTGGCATTACAGTCTGTTAGATCTCATTATATATATATATATATATATATATATGATGATGATGATGAGACGGTTATTTATCTAGAGCACGTCAGCGTGTTTCATTGCGTTGCCTCGCTGTGCCCGAGCTACAAGAGCTTCCTCGCCCCCATAACCAGGCCAAGGCATGCGTGTCTCCGTATGTAAACAAATCCGGCTGTTGCATTTTTTTATATCCACCCCTAGAGAGGTCTTTTCTTCCTTGTCCGCGCGTCTCGTGTAAGTGGTGCACCCTCTGCTAAGATCGCGTCCATTCTGCATCATTCTTTCCTGAATCCTCGCGAACGAATTCGAGCCACACTTATCGCCGACGCTTTTAGTCCCGGAGTCTGAAACACGCGACCCACGGATTCGCGCCATGAATCAAATGCTTGCGACTTTGCCAAATTATATACTCTCGTTATTTGCTCACGTACTGCGATTAATGACGGCTAAGCTACGAAAAGACGCTGGTCTTAAAGAGACACTAAAGAGAAACGGTGACTTGGTCAAGGAGGTTTTCAAAAAAAAATTGCTGTAGTTGAAGCTCCTGCAACGCTTGGCCAGCAAGAGTGAAGCCAGCTTTTGCCCTACAAAGTTCTCATGCTATTTTCTGGTTGTGCCCACTGAGACATCAAGTGGCTTTGATCTGTTAGTCTGAATGCAACGGTAACTATAAATTAAAAGATAGTTGTTTCCGATAAAATATCCCGTAGAGACGATCATCGGTGACATTACTTCCAATAAAATTTGCCTTGAATCCGAGGCTTACGAAGGAAAACTAGTAACACAAGGACGCACTCTGCGCACTATGTGACCCGAACAGGTTGCCACGTTGAACTCGTTGGGCGTGCGAGGAAAACGCTCCTTCTCAATCGCCGAATGCAAACATCATGCCCCTAGTAAGATGGCTGCCGCAGCCGCCACCTTACGGTGGGTACGGCTTCACTACAATGCAACATTTCCACTGCAGAATTTTTTTAAAACCTCCTTTGATTTCGTCTATATTGATTAATTGCACTTTAAAACTATAATGTCATAAGTTTAACTATCATAACTTCGCCATTGGCGGAGAACATCAAGGTTGAAGTTTCGTATTTAAATTTCCCGCCTAAATTTAGGCGCGTGACGAGCACGACTTCAGTCAGTCAATCAAGATCTTTATTAAAAGGTCGCGAGGAGTTTAAGCCACCGGATGAAAGACTTCAAAATGTAGTTTTAGTTTTCTCGAGACATTGGCTAGACGAAATTTTCTGAAATTTCGTATGCCAGGTCTAGTGCATCCACAGATGGCGATGTACTTCATTTTCCATCGTTTAGAAGCTGCATAGGACCCAGTAAACACCGGTAAACACCTTGAAAATTTATGACGTGACGGTTTTCGGTGCGGGAATTTCAAAGTGGCGTCTCCACCCGCATTTTCTTATCGCGCGTTTTCTCGCATACGAAGCGCCGTCTTGCGGCAGGAGTGGCGTTTTCGGGATTACGACATCGTGCTACGTTACCCTCACCAGCCGCTGAACGTACAAAGGACGAGCGCATTATTTTCTCCTGGGGTTCTTCCGGCGCACTTTGTGACACGGGAACGGAGATTTCCGTGACTTCTATGCAGTATACTCTCGATCAGTCCATATTCGCAAAATATCAGATGCGAATTGGCTCCTTTGAAAGAACGCATTTACCGTGTCTCATATACATCGACCATTTCTGAAAGGCCGATTCGGCATCAATCAGGACTCGAGAAACGTTTATCGATAGTGATACTCAGAATCAGTGGCATCTGGATGACGCGATTCTGGGGTATAGCGATTCCACAGTTCTGTTCTGAAAATTTGATGACGCCCTAGGTGACTCGCGAAAAAAAAAAAATGGTTGAAGGGACCCCTCGAGCTCAAGGACTACAAAGCGTTATCTTTCGCCTTCACTACCCTTTGCACAAGTGATATCCCATCCTCATCACTTGTTAAAGCAGATGGATGCACAATCAAGCACAAAGCGTTGAGCATATCAGGATTTCGCGCTTGTCGGCCGGCTTCGCGCTCTTATCTCCGCTTGCCCAGTCGGAAACACAAGATGGAAGTTAATTCAGCTGGTCACGCACTATCGTCACGCGAGATAAAGAAGAGCCGACGGACGGCTGCATGGCAAAGCAGTGCAAGAGACGATAGCGTTGGACGACATTTTCTTCAACCCCACTGAGCACATCCACGGTCGCTTCTTCGTTTTAGACGGGTTTAATTTTTAGTTAAGTTTTAGGAAACTGCTCGCCTCAAGTTGTTCCTCGACGATCGGCAGCAAAGAGAGTTTTGCTTTAATCATTCAATGTACGAGCGAGTTGAATTATACTCAATACTCGGCGACTAACCTGCGTCAAACCTGTCACGTACGGTCTATACTCGAAGTGCGTAGACTACAACGGCAACGTTTGATGCCGCATTACGGCCGATTAGGAATCGACTCGACCCGTACTTCTTTTCGGGCACGTTTGATGGTGCAGCGATCGCTCACCCAAATCAGCGTCGGCAGCGTCCGACGCCAGTTATTGCACCGCTGCCTGTAAATGGCGCATTCCCCACCTGCAAGGAGCTTGCTTTACAGTGAAGCACGAGAAAAATCCGTGCGATAGTATCTTTGCGTCATGCTAGCTGCGTGCAATACACCGAACATTGACAGTATTTTAACGCTTGCGCTTTGACACTTTAGTTTCCACCCTGTTTGGGTGTGGCCTGCGTTAATTGATGGATGTCGTTTTGGCCGGCGTGCAGTTGGTTAGCGTAGACTTGTCTCCAATCTATCACTCTCGGTTCCTATCGGACCCGATGTCTTGTGGTTCTTTCGAGTAATCTGGAGAAGTCTGGCTAACCACGGTCGAGGAAGCCGATTTCAATCGCAAAATCGGTATTGCCGTACCAATTTTAAATTTCAGTAATTGCTCGCGACTTGCTGTCGATAATACCGCTGTCGCACGATCCGCTTTGCACGGGGATCGAATTTCTCGGCCGCGATTTGCCCCACACGTTCGATGTCTCGCAAGAATAAGCCAATCGCGACAAGGCTCGATCGTGATTAAAACCATCCTTTGCGACACGCGCAGATAACCACTTCACATTCGCGATTCCATCGTGGTATGACGATTATAGCGCGAGAACAAAACGACGACGCAGAAGGACACGAAAGACACGTCTCTGAGTCGTCGTTTTGTTCTCGCGCTACAACTATCGTCGTGTCCTTCTCGTCTCTGTGTCGTCGTTTTGTTCTCGCGCTATAACCTCCTTGTCTCTGTGTCGTCGCCGTTTTGTTCTCGCGCTATAACCTTCTTGTCTCTGTGTCGTCGTCGTTTTGTTCTCGCGCTATAACTATCGTCATGCCATACCAACTAGCCCAAGCTGCCACACTTCCATCGTGGTGACGTACCGCAATCTACCCACACGTCAACCCCCGCTGACGAACAAAACAAGACTCCCATACCTTGTGACCGCCGTAGAAGGCGATTTCCTCGGCGTTCGCGATGAGCCTGGAGTGCACGAATCGCAGGTATCCCTTGCGACGTGCCTCCTCGGCGACCATCTTGCCGAAGCGAGGCGTCATCTTCCTCAGGATGAGGGCCGTCACGCCCACGGCACAGAAGGCGACGGCGGGCGCCGGCACACCGTACGCTCCCATCTCGTGCGCCATGCGAAACAGCGTGAACGTGATGACGACCACGTCCAGCAGGGGTTTGGTGATGTGCGAGTACAGGTGGGCCACGGACTGACTGAACGTGGTGATGTCCTCGGTGAGGCAGTGGTCGGCGTTCTCGAGTCGGCCGTCCAGGTTGCTCACCCGGTAGTAGGTCTGGTTCTTGAAGTACAGTCCGTACGCGTGGCGCACCAGCCTCGTGCGGAAGGCGAGCGCCAGCTGACTCTCGAGGAATCGGATCAGGCTGTTGACGAAAGTCGCGGGAATCGCGACCAGCAGCCACTTGGAGAGCTGCAGCGCGAAGCGGGTCATGTCCTTGCGCACGATGAACTTGACCACCTGACCCTCGAGTCGAGCCACGTAAATGGAGAGGAAGGTGCGCGAGACGAGCGAAAGCGTGTGAAGCAGGAGAAGCGCGCCTTCGATGGTTCGCACTCCCGGGATCATGATGCGGATGAGCTTGAACAGCTGCAGGAGGAACGTCTTGTTGAAGGCCGGGAACGCGCGCAGGGCTGCCAGCGTACTCGCCGCGACCCTGACGTTGTCCGGTTTGACAGCACCGGCCGCTGGCGTCACGGCGGCCAGCGCGAGGTCCGTCACGCTGTCCAGACCCACGACTTCGAGTCGGGCAGTCGTCTTCTCCGGGCTCGTCGTGGAGATGCGGTCCTGGGCGGCCCGTGCTTTCTTCTTGAGCGACTCGGCGACGTTCGAGAGGAGCGGGTAGCCGACGCGAATGACGTACGCGGCGAAGATGCCCGCCGCGATGCCCCTAGTGATGCGCTCCCGAGGCACGCCATGGGACTCGGAGAACTTCTCGATCAGTTTCGACAGGGTGTTGGTCATAGCTGCGCGGTTGGTCGTTCGCAGCGCGGCCAGGCGCTAGCCACTCGCCGCTACTGCTTTCGGGAGGTGTTGCACGCGGCCACGGCGAATTCACGAAGGACGACGCGCCGTCGCGCTCTCTCTGAAAGCGGAGACAGCGGCGGGAAACGCCATTTCCTCGAAGTCGTCGTCCTGCGAATCACTCCGGGTCAGGCTGTCCCCTCTTGTGCCGCCGCTCCGCAGTAACGCGGCCGCGGCTCCCCTTCCTTTCACGGTCACAAACACACACACGCACACGTATACAGCGCACACGGAGAGCACACGACGGCAACGGCGCACCGACTGGAATGCGGAGCAATAGAGGAACCGACGCGATAGATCCCTCACCTAACCAACCCGACAACTTTGCAGGAGCGCCGCTTCACTCACCGACTGCAACGCCCAGCCAGGCCCTGCGCAGCCGCTTGTAAACAATCTTCCTTCGAGATAGAAAATAGTCCTAAATAACTTCACAAAAATGAAGAACAAGTAATTTATTTCCTTGTAGTAAATGCCCCAAACAACTTAACTTTATGGTGTCAATCAAGAAAGGTAATTATATTAGTAAAGTTTAAACTTGCACGTGAAAATAAACATTACCACTGTTCTCACTCTGTGTCAAGGCGTGCAAGAGTGCGTCACTCGATGGCGGCGCTTTCGCGCGTAGCAGACGACGCATGTTTTCGCAATGAATTGGACCGGTGGAGCGAGAACAAGGGTGCAGAGAAAGCTAAAGCAGAAGGCACAACAGGTCAGAGAAGCGTTAACGTTACGCTAAAGACGTTTCCGGCACTGTACACGTTACGTGAGCCGCAGAACTTGTCATGCAGGAGTTCTTTCGGAAGCAGCGCTTGCAGAACACGCTGGAGGCGCGCAACAACCCGCCGTGGCCTGATGCTAGGAGGAGCAAGGACCTCCAACGCATGGACATGTATTCCAGGCTGCTAGCGCCAACGTCGTCTGGTCAGTCGTTGAATGTTCACGATGGCCTTGGTTCATTTTACGGTCTTCGTTCATTCGTCTGTTCGATTGAAGAGATAAATGTTCTCTCGCGTGGCACATTTATACCCGCAGCGCTGAACAAGGAAGCTTCTAACCTGACACGCTCGGAGTATTTGCAAGACGGGTACGTTGTTTTCATAAACAATAAGATCTCCACGGCCTCTTTTCAATTAAAATAGAACAAAAGATAGTTATGGGAACACTATAATGGCATCTTTCATACACTTCAAATATTGCCCCTTTATATTCCTTGATTTTCTTGACATACCGGTAACACACAATTAGCGCCCCATGCGACGTTTTGCAGCCGTTCGGAGATGCATGATTTCAATTGTAATATTGCAATGTTCACTTTTTTCTCGGCTAATTTACCACATGAAGTTGTAAACTAGCTGATTAATAAATGGCGATGTAGATGGCTGAATTCTTAAGCTGCTATGTTATATTTATTCTGATCAATCTGAAAATTTCTCATTAACTGTACATTTCACACCTGACTAGTTATCATAACTGGCTAATTTCAGTTTCAGTTTTATTGAGCATTTTCTTCACAGAGTTGAATTTCCTGTAGTGGGTTTGAACCATTCACAGAGCTAACCGACAAAATCTTTTTTTTTATTATTACAATGGGGCAGGAATAGTGAGGACCCCTGCCCAACCATGGAAGAGGTCAATCAAGAACAAAGGAGCCAAGGCAGTTACTATGAGTATAAAATCTTCTTTCCTGTTCAACATAAACAATGTTACGCCAGTTTAATTCCCGGGTGAAAATGAGTAGCTAAAAAATTTAACTGGAATCAAATGGCGTCATCTGGAGTCAACTGTTTCCAGCTGGAAATGAACTAAACCCAGTTGCAGGTCAACTGGTCCTAGCAATGGAAGCAGTTGGTTCCAGTTACAAGGCAACCGGGAACCAAATGGTACCATGAACAATAGTACTGGAAGTAACTGGACCCACTTGAGATCTAACTGGAACTTAAGCCAGTTGCATGACTAATAAATACACAATGCTCAGTAACAGGAGATGATGGTTTGCTTGTCTGGTCTTTTCAGTCCAGAATGGCTTGAAGTGAGCTGTGAAGAGAGGCGAACCCCCATAACAATCCCACAGTACACCAGTGATAACGACGGCCTCATACCCGGCATCGACTATCCAGAAGAGAACCCTCCAGAGACACCGCTACTATTTCGGCCCAACCACGCAAATGTACTGCGGTATGGACGATTTTTGCAGTGTTGTCACGAGATATGTTATGTGCCAGTGCGAAAGCCACACAGAGGACAAAATTCTAACCCATGCAAAATTTCAGGTCACCCTCATGATTTTAATCACCCTGAAAATGTATAGCTGTATTGTCATATGAAAGAATGAACCATTGAATTAGCATTATAATTGAGAGAAAGAGCCATAAAAGAAGTAGCTGGGTTTGGTTAAAAATTTTCAACATCAAATTTTGCATGCAATTTTAATACGTGCAAAATTTCTGTTCACCCAGGCCCTTTACATCTTCAGAAACTTTCATAGCTGTATTGTGAAAGACGGAATGATTTTAAACTGTAATTAGAAAAAAATAAACACGAAGGAAGTTGTTGGGTTTCCTTAAAATTTTTATCCTAAAGTGTTACATGTAGTTTTAATTCAAGCGAAATTTCATCTTACCCTGTCCACTTCAATCACCCAAAAATGTTCATACCTGTATTGTAATATGAAAGATTGAATAATTTAATTAGTATTATTAGTAAGCATAATAAAGAATCACAAAGCAAATCCTTGGGTAAAGTTTAAAATTTTACTCTGGCATTTTACATGCCAAACCACAATAAGTTTACTAGGCATGCTATAGTGGGAGGCATCGGACTATATTCGAGCACCCGGGATTCCTTGATTTGAGCCTAAATCTGAAGTAAATCAGTTTTTTTTTTTTTTTTGCGCATTGCCTCCATCAAAATGCAGCCACTGCAGCGTGGAACCGGACCCACACACTCGTACACAACAGCATGGCAGAACAGCAGTTAAACCAACACAGCATGAAGTAGTTGGGGGCAATGCGATCATACGGAAGCACAAAAGCTAGGCATACCTCGGAATCATCTCACACACAAAAGACAAGCAAAGAGTGCAGGGGCTGGGACAAATGCTTTTGTCTAACGCACTGCCTACAGAAATTTCGCTATGAGTATGATCCAAATCACTACATTTTTAGTCCTACTGTAATGACTCTATATGTATGCAACCAGGTAGCATATCTCTCTACAGTTGACATTTTAGTTTGTGAAGTTCACAGCACACGATTCCTTGACGTCCCTTATGTGCATTCTGGATGCTGCTTGTGGATGTGGGTGGAATTTTCTGAAGCATACACGAGGCATTCTTTAGAATAATGCTTCCATTCACTATCTGTCCAACCTTAGCCTATTGTTTCATTTCAGTAATGACCAGCCCGCCACCTTAGATCCCATGTTTACTTCGCCAGAGAATGCCGAGCCCAACGAAGAGCCGATGCCCATTTTTCCAGTAGACGTAAGTGATACACTGCGTATGCTATGTGGTGCCCTCCTTGATATTGCCATCTTGATACCAACAAGGGCAAAAGCGTTTTGCCATTCAGAAATGCACACCGAGTCGTTTGGAAATACGCAGCTTTGTAAATGATGAAAACATCTTCTTTGTGAGCAACCGCTGTGCGATTTGCATTCTTCTGGTCACTTTTAGGCACAGAGCAGGTGAGGATAAAGAACACTGTAGACAGCATACTGCATATGTATGGAACACTGTGCAAGTATGTGTGATCACCTGGCTCAAACTAAACCTTTTATCCAGACTTCTATTTTTCTTTGGAAATCATCGGGCAATTTTTCTCTTCACGAAGGATGGAAATTGTGCAACGCTGAATCAAGACATCAAAACGAACGCTGCGTGTTCACAATATACGTGCCACAGTTCGCACGTCCTCTCATGTACACAGGCAATGCACAATATGTGCCAACCTGGATCCGTACGATTGATATCTCTACACTTATACAGCGCACTGTCTGTAGGTACCGTGCGCCATTTGAAATTACCATGAAAACATTATGGCCTGCCCAGATTGCAAGCATTCATTTCTTTTTTCAGAGATTCAAAACTAGCAATGCTCTACATTGACCATTTATCTCACATATCAAGCAGGAGCACAGCTAGAAATTATTTTACTTGATGCTTTCATCCATACATACACCTATTGTTTTGTCGTGCATGCTGCCTTTCATATCTGGGCACTGAAAGCGTAGGGAGGCCTTCGTCAAATTAGTTGAATCTGCTTTTTAGCTTATTAAAGCTGAAGAATGTGTCTCCAGATAAGCAATAGACAAGAAGTCTACTGCAATGGCATCCGATTTCAACACATCGCATTTGCCTCCAGGAGCCCAAGACACCATCAGGTGAGGTGGGCGCTTGAAGCCGCAGCCGCAAGCCCAGCGATCATGGAGCTTACGGAGCAGCGACATTGCCTCATGTTCTTCGCTGACACCAGCCACTACTGTATCGTACAGAGGTATGCAAAAGCTGTAACTGCAATTTACAACCCACGGGAAAATGTCAACACATTCCACGGCCTTTGCTTTGTCTCGCACAGAAAATTTGCCACGTCTCTATGACATCTGTAGCCAATTTCTGTATCATAAACTTGTATTAAGGCGAGGCAAGACTTTGAATGCGAGTTTCGAAATTTGGCGAAACAGAAGTGGTAAGAAACAGCTATGGCTGCAAACTTAACAAGGTATTTTAAATATGAATGCCGGTTGCACTGAAGGCTCGAAATTAATGTTTAAATTGTATGCAGTGTTTATTATTTTATTTTTTCTACATGTGAACTTCTTGTTAACAGCTACGATTCCCAGAGCATTGGAATTTTTTGCAAAGGTAGGCAACATTCATTCCCAGAATTGTAACTAAAATTATGACTGTATAACAAAAAGTAAGTTTATTACCTTTTTTTTATGTTTGTCTATATATAACAATTGCCACTGGTGAATGGCTTTATTAGCACTGAAAAATTAAAAATGTGCATATGCCAGTGGTTATAGTTTCAGTTATGTAAATTCTAATAATTAACAAGTGCCAGATGTGCAGTATAATCACACACCAACCACTCTAGTTCTGTAGATCACTATTTAGAAGGTTCACCTTTCAGTGCTCGATAACATTATCCACTTCACTTCAATTGTATCGCCTCATCAAAAACTTGCTCAGCTTCTTTGAGGCACTTAACCTAATTCATACACAATTTACTTTAATTCACACAAGGGATTACATAACAGAGAACATTTACCCACAATATGTTCTGAATTTATCACTTTCAAAATAGAGTAATTTTCATGCATGTAATAAACCAGTTCCAATCCTGAGGCTATGTGAGTCAATACCACATAAGTGTTTCATGCAAACCTCATCATTTTAAAATTATTACATTCAAAGCCAAGAACAACTAAACTTTCCTGAAAAATACAAACCAATTGCTGATTATGCAGTATGTCAACTGCTTTCTTAATAATTCAAAGCCTCCGTTCAGCAGAAATACTGCAGACAGACTTTCTTTGCTCAAACATGACACCAAACATCTGTGCCGTTAACAAGGAAAAAAGTTGAAATTTATAAAATATATGTACATAATGACACCTTAAATTTCATTTATTATTAAATCTTTGGTCCACAAGTTGATGCCTGTGCCATGTGGGAAGGTCTCTAGATCAGCCTGACTACATCCACTGTAGGACAAAGGCCTCTCCCATGTTCCGCCAGTCAACTCGGTCCTGTGCTTGCTGCTGCCACTTTATACCCGCAAACTTTATAATCTCATCTGCCCACCTAACTTTCTGCGTCCCCCTAACTAGTTTGCCTTCTCTGGGAATCCAGTCAGTTACCCTTAATGACCCGCTGTCTTTGCACTACATGCCCGGCCTATGCCCATTTCTTCTTGATTTCAACTATGATATCCTTAACCCCGATTTGCTTCCCGATCGGCTCGGCTCTCTTGTCTCCTAATGTTACACCTATCATTTTCCTTTCCAGTCGCTCACTGTGTCGCGAAGACGACATACTCTATATAATCAACGGGTCTGAAAGATAGAGCTATCAAAGGCAACACAGGACTACAGTTCTCGTTTGCAATGTCCTGTTAGCCAGGTAACTGGATTACAACAAAAAGTTGCACCTACGTACGGTATCAGTATGAGGTTCATAATCCAGCTGCAAGTTCCAAGCACTGTTCAATAAAATTGTAACACACTGCTAGCATGCATATGCAGAAGCACGTCTACAGTATCATAAGCTGTCTCTTGAGTTGCCAGTAACAACACTCCCCTGTATCCTTCACAGATTCACCAAGTGATAGCCGTTTATCAGCGATGGTACAAAACTACCTTGACGATGCGGCAGCCAACAAGCGAGAGCCAGTCAGCCTGCGACTTACCCCTGCACGAGGCCGCGGCACGGTACGGCTCGGCCGTCAGCTGAGGTCCGGCATTCAAGACACACCACCCAACCGTGCTTCACCGCTTAGCATCCACAGGTTTATCGATGAGACACCAGCAAACAGAAGAACCAGTATCCTCCAGCACAACAGGCCCCAACAAGAAGAAAGAACACCTCTACAAGCATTACAGCAGACCAGAAGAGTGGCGAGCTCCTCAAACAGTGCATCATCATGTCTGGCAGTCAACCAGGGTGCAACGGTCAAGAGGCGAGAAACTGTCGACCTCCAGCGATCAGATGTACGGGATGCTGAGAGTTTGCAGTCCAGCCATCAAGCAGCTACGAACGTTCCCAGCAGTGACATACAGCGGGTCCTCAATGTCGTGCCGCAACTTCCCACAAGGCGTAGCAAAACACGAGAGGGAACAGAAAATGGGGCTGAACTCGACAACGTCCCTATCACAGCCTTCACAGCTGCCAAAGGGATGTCCAAGCAACCCCCAAAAACGAAACTACACCGATTGAAATTACAGATACCCCCGACTCGGCGAAAAACAAAAGGAACACACGCAAGTACACCACACTGCCGATCGAGGATTAGGAACTCCAATGTCTAGTCTTCATCACAGAGAACCAATCTCTGCAGTCTACACACCAGCCACCAAACCAGAAGGAACAACCACTACATCCACTAAAGTCGCATCGACTCCCCACCAACAGCCAAATGTGCGAGAGGAAGGCCAGAGTCGAGCTATTTTTATGACAACAGAATCCATGACAGCATTCAAGAGGTAAGGCTCCTTTGTCTACTATCTTTGCTTTGGCAAAGGCCTGTTAACTAAACATAAGATTTCTGGGCTAGTTATTTCATTGCTATCTAATCATGTAATGTGTTCATTGCTCAGTAATTTTGTTGGTGTTTCTGTATATTCATGGTGTCAGTATAAATGTGTGGCTCTCAGAAATCGAATTCCGTTGATAGAGCATGTCCTGTAATCTTTCACATCCTCTCTAAAGCTATAGCATCTAGTTAACAGCCCATGAACATGTGACAGTTGTACTTTGCATTTCAGACGACAAGAAAGTCTACAGAGAGGACAGTGATGCATCCAAGTAAGTATGGTATCTTATCTCAACCAGAAAATTGCTTGTCGTAATGCAAGTCTTGCTGCCCAGTCATATCTCCTTCTGTCCTAGTGACCAGTTTACTGAACATACCAAAAAAGGCGGTGCAGAAAGTTTCGGCTCCGATCCACGATCGGAGCCGCAACCATTTTGTGTGGCTTCTATAAAAGAGGGGAGAATTGTAAATTTGAACGTTTTTCCTCCTTCAGCCCCACTTTCTGATGGTGGCACCTTAGAATATAGACTGTCATCCACAAGGAAAAGTGTACAAAATTATTTTAGGAGCTTTTTTCGTGCAATTCATATAATTTAAATTGTGTCCTCTTGAAACAATGATGAAAAAAAGTAGCTTTTGTAACCAGTAGTTTGCTTGCAATGCGAGAATGTTTTCATGTCTGGTACATTGGACGCCAGGTAGTAATTGGATCGCACTGTGCCAAACATGCAAGAAAAAAAAGGAAACTGGGAGTGAGTGTCAGACGACAAACTCGAAGCCCAGCTCTCAAAAGTGATAGGAGTATCTTGGAAATTCTACTAAGAGCATGGAGCGCAAGGAGGAAGCTGTGTTAGAGGAAGTTGGCTTGTGGACGCTCAGCGTGCTCCCACCTAGGTTTTTTTTACCTTCATGACGTTATGTAATACTGTTAACAATGAGAATTTTTTTTCTTTTTCTCGGATCAAGACAAATAGTTCTTTATTTTATAAGATGAATGACCTTCCTACAGTACCAAAAGCAACACTTTTTCAAAAAAGAGCAGAATGTGCATACCTATAAGTGCAACAAAGGAATTCTAGAGTCCAGTATACTGAACATAATTTGAGCATGAACACAATTGTACTTAAGAGTCTGGAAGTTTTTTTGCAAGCTTTTCAAAAGCGTCTTAGCTAGAAATGAACACTAAGAAATTTTGTACTGCCCCATGAAAAATTCGGGACGAAAAGGGACATTGGTTCGGTTGCTGTGGCATTCTGTATGCTAATAATTTTTGGGGTTTCAAGTCCTAAAACCCCTGTTTGATTATGAGGAATGTCACAGTAAAGGGCTCCAGAAATTTTAAACCTCAGGTGTTCTTTAACCTGTCTCTCAGTCTAAGTACAGAGGCCTCTTGCATTTCACATACATTGAAATGCAGCTTGAAATGCAGCTTGAAATGCAGACTTTGTGCCGTGTCCTTTGAGCCAGCAGGGCACCCTGTATTCCGCATGCTTGCGCCCCACCCAAATTCAACAGCATAATTATGAATCTTGGTACTTTCACGGCATAGGTATGACGGAAGTGCGAGACATGGACGGCTTCTACAAGAGCGCCTGGGTCCTCCAGCTCCAGCACGCTCACCACCAGCTGTACATGGAGGAAATCAAGGCCCAGGTACTGTACAAGCCACCCGATCGTTTCTCAATCATGTCCGCTTTCGAAGATGCTGACGACCACTTCGCCGGACACAAGTCCCGAAGATCATCATTGCGGTACAAAACTCTCGACGACGAACTCAAGGTCCTTTCGACAGAAAACTCGCCCATTAGTCAAAGTGCGATGAAAGACGCTAAGACGGTTCGTAATGCACAGCGACAACTAAGTGACAAGCATGACCAAGACACCATTTGTTTTGAAAAAACCAGCGATAGGAAAATACCTTTAGTGGAAACAGGAGGACATGCACTCTCAAGCTCGGGCATACACCGGTGCGACATTGTACCTGAACATTCTGAACATTCCACTTCGGGTGCGGAGACGATGCCCGATACCAGGCCATGTTCACCGAAGGAAACTGACAAGCCGCAACTCGCACGACAAGTTTGCAGTCAAGAATCAGACATGCAAAGCAACTCCAGCTTTCAAGCCTCAAAAAGCGCAAGTCAAAAAGGAGTTGTAGTCAAAAAGGAAGAGGGTACCATGACCAGCCCTAACCCTTACCACACGACCCCTAGTGATGCGCAACAGACACACTCTACAGACTTGACAACAGAAGACTCGACATGCACACCACGTATGCATCGCTGCAGCTGCAGTGTTCCCAAGACCGACAAAACTTGTCAGATTCAACCGGAGGTCACCGACGCGGCCACTTGGTACGACGAAAAGATCGTGCCGGATCAGTTACAAGCTGGCGACCATGCATCTGTACACATAACGGCCGACGACGAGCAATTATGAAGGTGGTCCGGTACACATAAGCGAGAAGCGGCTAGCCGCACATGTATATATTGTACAGCTCCATTTTGATAAGCGCCAACAGTCTGCATTAGTCCTTAATACCACAAACAAGTCTGTTCTGGTTTTTAAGCAGAAGCAAAAGTTACAGTAATGCTTTTTCTCCAGAAAATCTAGCTTACGACTGCTAGGCTTTGTTCACATGGCTGGCACAGATACTGCAGTCATGATACAGCATTTTTTTTTCACTGCTTTTGCTTTCAAATGGACACTGGCAACGTAAGGACTGCTGCCTAGTGCCCTTGGCAACACGTTATAAAAAACCATTGAGAGACCACTGCCTCGCCAGAAACGCAAGTACTGCGATAAATTTGACATGTTTGTGAATCGAGCCTCAGTCCTACAGAAACTTACTCTAATACTATCGCATCAAGCTCTCAAACCATAATGTAGTTAGGTCTGAACGTGGCAATGCATCTTATGTGTTAATTTTTTTCGCTGAAGTATGAAAGACGTCTTCATGAAAGAAGTCGGTCGTGCCACATCGCACCTCTTCAAAAAAAATGACAGCAAGACCAGAGACGCACGTTTGCGAAGTGCTTTTAATGCCACGCAACGTACAGGTATACACAAGAAAGAGTGTACAAAGCTGTCCGTGAACCGACAAGACAAAAACAAGTGCACGGGAAACTATTGCTGCCGCATTGAACAATGCATCCGGTAGTCGGGATTGTGCCTACGGAGGAGACGTGGCTGCCACGGGCGACGCCTTTTTTTTTTTTTTTTTTTCCGAAAGCGGCTTTACTATTTCGGTTTGCTGTAATAAACCGTTTGCCTTCAGCTTCTTCGAGCCTTTGTTCGCTAACGTGTTTGTGCAGTGTTGACACAAACAGCAGAACTAGCGTGCCTTCCAATAGCCCAACAAACACTGCAGCAATACGTACTGCCACCAATGTGATAAGTTTGACTGGTTAGGTGTTGGTAAGGGCTATAACCATTTCAAATGCACTGCACTAATATGGGAGGTTAGCAGAATGAAGGAGAGATGGATGTGCAATATAGTAAAAAGATTCTATAACAGTTTAACGGTGAAAGATTTTATAACGGTTTCGACCAAACCAGCAATGTGTCCGATTTGGAGGTGTGCGAGGAAAAGGACATAAATGGAGAATCATAAAAAGATACGCCTTGTGGCTATAATAATCCTCTTCAAATTCCTTACATTTGGCAAATCTGCATTTCAATTCATTGGCTTTTCTTTACCTCTAACACCTTTTCAAGCATTCTTGCACACATTTTTCTGATGTTTCAGGACTAGATTACCACTCCTCCAACTGTTGCATCGTGCCCTTCATCAACATTCCTTCATTCCACCAACGTTCGTTGTTCAGTGCTTCATTAACCAAAAAGGACGACAAATGTTTGGTGCACATTGTCTTCGACATGAGCGTCACACCACTTTGATTTTCGTGCACGCAACAACCCCTGCACAAAACATGTAGGTGCAAAATTGCCTGCCAGTATTCTCGTTTTCTTCTTTTTCTTTCACACACATTGACCGCCTCAGTAATGCACGGTCACCACCTTCAACACTACGCGTAACACCCTGAATTGCGTTGCGGAAGTGGGAAAGCCGTACAAATGCGAGCCTTCGAAACAACGGGCAAATAGACTCTGCAATCACATCACAACAAGACCTCTAGACAACGTTATTATTGTTATACAAAGTGCTATAGATTCTCACTGCTGGTGCAATTGTGTATTAGTACTATGAAGGGGCAACAGTACATCACTTTCAACAACACCACCGTGGGGGCGGAAAGTATCTAAGAGTACTGTATAGCTTAGAGTGCAGTCGTAATAAGAAAACATCAGAAAAAAAAAAAAAGAAATGACTGCTATCCTAAACGATACACACTACTTTCTTATGCTGAAAAACATTAAACATTCTTTGTCGAAAATGCTGAAAGCACCAGAAAACTGCCCAATAAAGGGTAACGCGCTCCTTCAACCTGCGAGCGTCTAAACCAGAGACGCACTCAGGTCCGTAGCTTCGAGCGAACAGCTTGGTCGTGTCAGCACACCCATAATGAATACACCGCGATGGCTGAATGTTGATGAAGTCCGAGCCTCCCTCCGAAGACGAGAAAAAAAAAATGCGGTAGTCGGTGTTGCAAACGACACGACGGCGCCAACTTCGACGCGATTCTTGCGAGACGACAAACAAAAAGGTAAGATAAAGTAGACGGCCGTACTTTGGGCACTTTTCTTTTGGTGAGAGCACTCATTTCAAACTTTGATACAAAATATGCAACTAACGTGGTTCAATTCTCTTCCGCTTTAACTGAAAGCCACTCTAGTCCCATGGTCCTACACAAATCTTATCAAAAGACATGTCTCGGCGAATCTCTCGCTATGCTCGGTCCAAGTGGTGAACTCTCACCTCGTCGACATGGAATGACGGCAAAAAGGCGGGGCCAATGTTAGCCCGATATTGGCCCTTCGCCAGTACACGTTGCTCAATGTGGGCCAATATCAGCCGAACCTTTTTTTATCCATTGTCAAGGTTGTGGAGGCCTTGGCAAGCAGCTTAATTAACCGAGCATTGAGAGAGCCCGATAACGAAATTGAGTCTCGTTCAGAGTGACGGCTGTGAGACAACTCGCCCAGAGCTGCACAGGGGGCAAACCCTTATCTATTAAACTAGTGCTCTAAAAATAAATTACAAACGACGTTGGTGCTTCCTTGTAGTCTTTGGACAAGCAAGTGCAAAGTAATGCTGGGAGAATCGCACTAACATGGCAAGCCACATCAATGCAACGTTGAAACTTGGCAGCCATGTCAGCATTGACCGTGCTATCACACGGTTCGCCAGGGTCATCTCGACAAACAGGATTAAGAAAGCGATTAAGACAGTGATAGGTGTTGGGAAGTGTGATCTGTCTTGCGTGTCTGTAACTGCATACTTTGTAAATATAGTGCATATCTGCTTGTTGTTTTTCTTACTTTACAGTGCGACTGCAAGTAAGGGCAACAAAGGAAAAACTATTTCAAAAGAGTAGCCTGCTTGGAAAAGTTGGGAAGGATGAGGAAGTGGGGGTTTATAAACCATCCGGTTAAAGCTGCCACAGACAAGTGGTTAGTGTTATTGCTGCTGGTAGGTATAGCTCGTAATGGGGATGTGCTTTCGATGGTCATAAAAAACACCATGCTAGAAATCTCTACAAAATCAATAGAAATCGAACACCACCGCAACTACGCCACGGCTAAGTGTCCAGGTGTCACAGAAAGAGCACCTCACTATTTACAACTTCAGAGAGAACTCTGAAGCACGCATGAAATAAAAACATCAGATATTACACAGGCCAACATACTGTGCGAGAAACAAAACACGAAATACAAAAGACAAATGAAACGATATAAAACCTTGGACCGCTTCAATATATATCACAAATGTAAAAGTTAAACGAAAAGGCTCTGGAATGCACAAAATAACTTGTCAGTAATTCAGAAAAACATAGCAAAAGAATCAATACTGATGTCATGAAGTTGGCTATTAAAGCAGCCTATTAAAAAGCTTTGAAAAGCGCTCGCTACTTTGTCGCCCCTAACATGTTCCACAAAGTGCACGCCTTACTTGCCATTAAGCAAGACAAGTTGCATGCAACGTGCACTTCACTCGTCATGCTTTCATATTTTAAAGGTGCACGACCGATTTCACCTTGGGAAAGACTGGTTGCCTTCGACGAATTGCCAGCATGGACAGCTGAACTTCGAGTGCCTTGTAACAGACAAGCAGGTTAGCCCACCCCCGAGGTCACACACCAGGAACTCGCATCTTCAGTGGTACGATGCCTTCAGCCTAGGCGACAGTTCTCAATACATTTTTGTTATGAACACTCGATTCCCATTGATGTGCCCGTTATCAAGATGCGAGAAATACAAGATGTAAGAGAAACATCCGGGCATAGGAGTACCTACAATGTCGCTAGCACGGAGGTTGTTAGTGGGCTACGAAACTCTCTCTATATGTTTGCTCGACAGATAAGTGCCTGCATGATGATTGCTGCATGAGAACGAAAGTAATACCAATGCGGCTGTATGCCCCTGTTGACATGAACGTGACAACACCCATGCTCATGTTCGTGGCAAACGCAAGATGAATCTAACTTTAGCACAAGGTCACGAATGTGTGAGTAAGAATACTCCAAGACACATCGTCAACCAAGACTGCCAGCATGTCGCAGTACTGAGGTTGCCGAGCTGAGCAACCTCAATACTGCCCTAGGATTGCTGCAACAGTAAATCGTTCACTGCTTGAAATTTGCAAACCTCCTTTAACATGAAAAGGTGCGCAAGAATTGAAGAGATATTTGCTCAAAGCTCTGACACTCCAACAAACTTTCGCGAAGTCCAACAAACCTGCACCGATTATGAAGTACACATTCCTTAGGCGGAGCTGCTATCAAGTTAGTAAATACTTGAAAACTAGTGAAATGCGGCAGCCCCATATGAAAGCAAGGCGCATAGCTTATCTATGATGATGATCACGCTCGCGTCAACATGGGCACACAGCACGCAGACTGGCGCTATCAAGTGTTATGCTCATCATAACACAGCGTCTATGGTCAACATGTATCTTAGTGCAAACAGGTTGCATGCAATCTGCGCGAAACATTATCTACTACCACAGCATCTGTCAACCCTGACTTCCCGTCTGATGTACAGTGACCGCGATGATAGCTAGGAACAAGAGGGGAATATCCAGCTAGGATAAGGAGGCGACAGTTCATAGCTGAACACGAACCTAGGCTGAAAGGCGGTTTTACTGTAGAATAATAGGCGTTTGGGCGAGCTGTTACTGAACATCATCTTTCCCACCTTGTAACTTCGTCATCAGTGCAGCCCCTTCAAGATGCTCGGCTTTACTACGCGTCTCGGCACATCCGTGCAGTTATTTGCAGTACAAATATTCCGTAGTCTCCACTTTCCCTACAAGCTCAAGGACGATAAAATCTCGAGCGTGCAATATAACAGCACAGTTGGTTTCATCGCTGGTTTTTTGCCACTATTCTTGGGGGTCTACGCAATGGCACTTTTGGGAAGGCTGATTTCGTTATGTATGTCATGAGTGATAGGGCGAGGACAGTGAGGAATGCAAGCAGCACTCGATTTAGTGAAAAGTTTCGACTATGCCTTGCGATCACTTCGGTAAAAGCTAACGCTAATGGCAGCAATCATGGAGCATGTTATTTTCGAAATCTGAGACCATCTTATAATCTGGTTTCGACATTCAAATGTGCTCACCTTTCTACGAATGCAACCTCGCCCACAAATGATAAGCGGTCACGGACAACGAAAGAAAGTGACCAGGTTTTTGTTCTCGCTAACTTTGCTTGGTACGTGCATCGAGCCGACTTATGCATAATGAAATAAAAGTCTGATTCGCTGCTAGTCTCAGCGACTCTCGGCGTGACTAGTGTCGGCTTGGCCTTAGCCAGCATTCCAACAAGTGACAAAAGAAGATAACAATGAAACATCTGATCAGCGAAATTTCTGCATGCTTCGAAAACATGCTTCAAAAACATGAAGTCACCGATCCTCGACAACAAGCTGTAAGCTCAACGAGAAACATGGAGCTTGTTATTATTATCCGCACAAACGTGTGCAAACTCTGGGCTTTTGTGCGCGTACCGAGATTTCTCATAAAACTGGCACATATACCTTTCGAGTCATAATATATCTAACAATCTGACATTTGTATAAGACTGACTTGTATCACAAAAGAACCTTGTTCTGGAAACTGTTTGCAATCTGACGTTTCGGACACAAACCATTAAAGTGAGTCTTTAAGAAGCACACGCCATAAAACAAGACCGTAGCAGTGAAATAATCTGGACAGTGTCGTCAGAGTGAAGGCCCACTGAACAAGCTGCACTGCATACTGCTAGTTCACATCCAAAAAATGAAAACCAACTAGCAAGAGAAGTTTTCGGTAACTGCGGCTCACAATCATCAATGTTTAAACGAACCCACGAGTCTTATGATAAGCCCCTAAAAGCACACATGTGCTTATCTACACTACATACACAATCACTCTGGGCTGCAAAAATAATATTGACTGAACTGGAATGACGCACTCAGGTAGGCAATAAATGAAGGAGTCTGTTAACTCGTTATCATATGAAGCAAGTTGGAGTGTTGCTTAATGCACCACAATCTGTGAAACGCGTTACAATCGGGGTAGCTAAAATTATTGCAATACACATAAAGGCATAAACATTCTAACATGGCAACGAACTTATTGCCATGTTTCTCAGATGAGAAGCGAGAGAGCGCGATGCACTGATAGCAATCGTGTGTTGATCGCATAACGTTTCGGTAACATGAAGCCCTGCATGACAAATTCTGCCTCTAAAGCAACAACCGCATCATAACTCAATATCTCAAAACGCCCAATTTTTCGAACACCTCACACAGGTAAAAAATCTTTTGCATGTTCATGGCACCCCTGACGGGGTATCCGGCGTAAGTTTAGAATCTTTGTTCGTGAAAAGCACAGCAATCATGGCTGTTGATCACTGCAAAAGGCATCAAACTCACAGGAGCGCAATCCGTAAGGACAATTTGTAGACAATGCTGGAGCGTTGCAATTTCAGGCTGCTATTACAGACATATCTTGGTTGTGCATTCAAACGCAAGGCATTGCGATTAATTCAAAAGCATTGCAGTGCATGAAGAGTGGTAATGTATTGCAAAACTAACCGTGCTAAACAGTGATGCCATTTCGATCAACAGCCTGCAACAGCAGCGCTCACGGACCCAATCACTACAAATTGTCTAGAACACACACCCTGATCATCAGTGACTAGTATCACACTTGTAGTCTGCCGTACACACCTTCGCGTGGAACAAAAAAGAAATGTCTGTGCCTGGATAACAACTACACGTAAACAAGGTTCTCGGCAGACAGCATAAGACTACTGGCTTCCTGCCAGCAAAAAGCCAGTTTCGACATGGGCCGGTTTCAGAGAAACTGCAAAACCTAACAAGACTATACAAACGACAGCCCAAAAGTGGGCCGAAAGCTTCAAATAGTAAACAAAAATGGTCGAGCAAACTGGTTCTCCATCTTCCAGGCGTGCAGAGCACGTGTAAGAAAGATAGTGATTGAAAATGTTAACTTCAACAATATTTTCACTCGGGCATCAACTAGACCCCACACAATGACCGAGATTTCGGTATCCTCAACCACCGTTTGAATGAACAAAGGAAATGTCAGGCCAGTGCCCTGTGGAACAAATGTTACAAAAAAAACCAATGCCTTCATTCATATCCTTGATATTCATTTAGAATCCATCAGAGAATTTGAACACTAGTTTGTTCTGCTATCAGTTACGGAGCACGGTACAAAGCATGAATGCACTCCCCTGCAAGGGCAGTCCGAACAAAACATTTAGGGCACATGTTCAGCCGATGAGTCATTTTCTGGCCATCAGGCCTTGTGCGATGGCTACAGTTTTCAAGATGCTGTCACGTGAAAGATGCTCTGAGAAATTAAATATGGAGATTTGTGTGATAAATCGTACCACAGGACAATGACCCAAGTTCCCAAGGAAGCAACAGCTAGCCTATGGACTGGCGTGTCCTCCTAGAACTACATTGCACAATAGACAGCATGATTGTTCGCGCAGCAGTTAATACCCTTGAGAACAACTCTGTGTAAGAAAACTTGCAAGTTGTTTTCCGGTTCGAGTTCTTGATACAGTGGCTTCCACGGTCAGGTCCCGACACGCTGATAAAAATGTCCTGCAAACATATGCGCCCACCGGGGTCTGAGGCATGCCAGCCCATGGGCTAGCAAGCTCTGTAATTGAATGTGTGGTCTATACTCAACAGCATGACTGACCACGAACTTCTAGCCTGCCAACTAGACAGTCTATAGACTACAATCCACAGACCATAGCCTGAACATTGTGGTCTACAGAATATGGTGGGGATAGTGGTCTACAGTGTACAGATACTGCACTACACTCAGCACACTATGATCTACAGATCACAGCCAGTCTGAGATAAACCATTGTCGGTAGACAGAGGCGTGCAGACTTTAACTGGCACACTTGACTCTGGTCAGTGTGGTACATGGCTCACACCAGCATCTAGAAGCTACGTACCACATTCCACTCACCACGGTCTATAGATCACAGTTTTCTATGCACACCTGGTCTGCTGACCACAGTTCAAGGCTATGGCCTGCGGACCGTGACCTCTAGACAATAGGCCACAACTTATGGTTTACAAACCATGGTCTACAAACTAGTCTTCGAGCACGGTATGCAAGGCAAACCTACAACCTGTCGACATTGCGCTGCAGTCTGTAGACTATGGTATGTTGACCCCACATGTCGAACATACGGGATCATCTTACGCAAATGACAATGGCACCAAAGCGCAGCCTAGCTACACTCCAGTAGCAGCAACACTTAGCAGTTGGTGCAAGTCTTCTAGCGGTCTTCCTCTCCGGAGTCTCCGTCATCTGTGGTGTAAGCCTGGTTGATGCCACGAATGTGCACATACTGCACGGTCTTCTTGTTGTCACGCGTTGTCGAGTCGCTCCACCAGGGGTGTGCAAAGAGGTCGCTGACTTCTTCCAAGGACTTGCCCTTCGTCTCCGGCAGAAAGAGGAAGAAGAAGAACCAGCCGAGCAGCGAGAGCCCGGCATACAGCCAGAAAGTGCCTGATGATGAAAGAAATAAATGAAAGAAAGGACAAATTTAGAGCCCCTGCACCACTGCAGTGGTGGAAGCCAGCAAAGCTGGCACTGTGGTGTATATTATCATTACTGACTATACCGAGTCAATGAAGAGACGGACACTCAAGCACCTTGGCATTTCTTTTGCGCTTGACCAATATTATTTCAGGAGGTGAGCAGGTAACCATAAGTCTTCCTTCCGGAACCAATGTTTGCGGCGAACAATTGCTATAAATCTTCAGAGTCTTAAGGTGGAATTCAATGCCTTTAGAAATAAAGACTACGCACAACTTTATGCAAGCTCGTTAACATTTTTTTCTTGTCTTTTGAATAGTAACATCTTTTTCTTTGTAGACAAACTTCTACGTCATTAAAACTTGCATATGCATAGAGCCTATCATTCCATGACTGATTATGTGTATGGCTAACCTTTACATACTTGTTAGATTTGAACAGCTCCTAGCCACATTTTTGCTTTTGCACATATTCCTTGTTACTAAGAGTACTTAATGCACTAGGCGACGAAAAGTACTTGTGTTTCTAATGAAAACGAGCTAGCACAATAGTGATTCAGAGGTGAATGAATTGCATGCTGCAGTCATGTAGACGAAGTCGAAGTTTTCCGAGGGGGGGGGGGGATTGTAAATTGTAGTGGACTTGACTTGGAGCTAAACGCTCAGCAACTTAAAAGGCCACTCACTAGGCCCCATACCAATTTTAGTTAGACAGTGGAAGTTGTTGGGTGTCCGATGAGGAACGTTTTGCCACAAAAATTTCTTAAACCGGTTCATTATTAGCGGAGAAAACAGGTTTTTTTGAAGCGGCGTGAAACAAGGGTGAGAAGAGGCGAGCTCGAAACCCTTGCCACTCCTCCGCATAGCCTTTGCAAGCCAAATCTCTTCCCCACCCTCTCCGGCATCCGACCAAGAGGTGACGTAAGCATGGCGTGCCCGAACAAGCCCAGCCCTCGTGCACGCGAGCAACGTTGCTTTGTTGAACAGCGTTATTTTGTGGTCTTCTGCCTGTTTCTGCGGGATTGTTTGGAAACGCTGGCTTAGACGCGGTAGAGTAGATGAGCACAATGAGTGCGCGAACGCGTAGGAGCGTTCCATGGCGGTCATCTGCTCAATGTGCTGACCGCGGGGACCCGAACGCATGCGAAACGCTGGCACATTAGCCCCGCATCTCGTAGCATTTCACGGGAAAAAATGTAAGATAAATGCGCGCAATTTTTTATTGTGTCTCATTATTTATTTCAAGTTTTATTCATCTCTTAAAGCAACAAATGCATAAACTACGCATGTTGTGTTAAATAACTTTTGCCATGTCACGTGGTATACTATCGACAACGTCAGAGCAGAGTCGTCTACGTAGAGGACCAACGTCACTGCATTGCCGTGTACGTAGGGCCATTCCTATGCCCACGTCATGCCCTCATTCTCTAGGTGTGTGCCGGCAGAGGGGAGAGGGAGCAGCTTTCATCTTGAAATTTGACCGATTTTCGTGGTGCGTAGCGTAGTAAATTTTGGCAGACGTGATCATGAACGCCTCGTCTACGCATTGCGCTTGTCAGCTAAATACTGTCAAACCTGGTGAGTGGCCCTTTAAAAGAGAGGAATGTTAGAACATGGCATCACATGCCATTCTTCGTGTTAGGATGCATGCAAGCCGTGCATGAATGATATCTGTTTGCCACTATTTATCGGAACGCACCGCTATTTAACAGAATGCGCAACGAAAATTTTGTTCTGCAGCTGAGCGTCCGGCTCTAAGTCCCGTCTATTACATAACCGAATCTAGCGTAGTTGAAGCCAATTCATTCAAACTTGCATTTCTCTAGTTCACCAGTGAAGCTGGTCATTGTGGTAACGTGTCACCAACCATATTTTGTGATCGCTTCAGTCAGGGTGAGGAATGTCATGGAGACCAGGAGGTTGCAGCCCCAATTGACCGAAGTAGCCAGCGAGAAACAGCTTGACCGTGCCCACAGCGGGTATATCTCCGAGTTGATGGTCCAGGGCATGGCTCCCAGGCCTGCAGGGAGCACACGTGGGATAAGTAAGGAGCAAGTTCGAGTACAGCCAAGTTCATTGCCCAACAAACATTAATATCTAATTCACCTGTTCAGTTTCCTACAACGTTCACTAGAGAGAACTGTGGTGCAGTGATGATTCGGCCACCATGAGAATGATGAACAGTACATAAATTTGCCCAGTCTTCGTGCTTGCGACATAGCACACACTCGTGGCTTTGTCTATTTTAGTGTTCTGGCTTTTGCTCCGGGTAAAAGAATGGCTCTTTTTGAATCTCGTGAGTCAATCTGAAATAATCAGCCTAAAAGTCTTTGTCTAGCGACAAAGCGACTGCATGCCACGTTGAACCACAAGAGTGACAAGGCTGAAGAATTTGGCAAATCCATGCACTGCCCGTAATTTCAATGCTTGCTAATGCGCAATTCGTTTGCAGCTCCCATACACACTAGCGCCAGATTTCCCTCTAGTATACTCCTAAGAAGCTATGTTCAAGGGTACAGCAAAGCAAAGTGGTAAACCAGTTTAGATATAAATTATCCCTTGCGAACTGTACTGGCGTTAATATCATATGCCAATGCGTAAATTCCACACATCGGCAGCCGACCCCCCAGGGCAAGCTTGTGAACAGCGACCACTATGGGCACCAATGGAAGCGGCTGGAAGTACTGCACGTCGACACCCGAAAATGCAACACCAAGCATGCTTCACGCCAATTTTCTATAATTTTAGACTAGTATATTTACTTTCCGAAAGCTTGAATAGTTTGAATGATTCCGGTCATAATCAAATAGCAAACGCTATTAGAAAAATATTCGAAAGTGCTAATATTCTTAAACCCCTACTTATATGTCTACTCTAACAAATACGATCATTACCTTAACCTATTTCATCCCTATAATATGCATTAGGAATTCCAGACGACCCACACTGGTGCTGAATAAGGTGGTCTGGAAAACAGCAGGGAGTGGTGCTCGTGCCGTTAGTAGTCCCCGTTTCACTTTCACATATTACAGAGTAATTTTTTTTGTGATATATGAGAATCTTTCTATGTCTATGCTAAGGCGCAGGATCATTCAGAAAATAGAACAAAAGTATCCGACTGTGCCTGAGTGAGATGGAACCTTCGTGTTGCTTTATGGGACGCCGTTCTTTTTTAGGCTTTTAAGTTTTTGCATTCCTGCCGCATTGGCCAAATGTTGTTTCTTTTATCCTGAAATGGTTTCTTCTCTGCCATTCTCCTCCACTCCCCCCCCCCATACTCCACCCCCTTTTCGATCCAGAATTTCAGTCATCCTGAGGGCAGGTTCATGAAGGTGCGCCCGGTGCAGAACATGTGGTTTTATGATGCTTCGTTACGTCCATAAATTTGCCGCACATGAGCGCAGGATTTCACGATGATGCATTGCTGTGAGGCAACTGTTTTGAGGTCCTGACGCCTATGTGTTTCCTTTCTCAGTTATCACGAAGATGATACCCTACACTGGTCTTGTAATAAGCATTAACTTTTTTACGATAAACTGCAGCTGGCAATTACCGCCAGTCCCACATCACTGTGTTGTCCCCATTCCTTTCGTGCTACTTTTTTTTTTTCTTCATAGACAATACCAACTCAACCAACGTAATATTTTAGGCTCAAATAATTTCATAGCCCATAAGCAGGCTTGTGCGAATAGCGAAATTTAGATTTGAGGCGAATGATGATCTAGGTCGAATAAGTTCGATTGGAATTCAAATAGCATATTACATATTATGTAGAAAAATGGGCATATTTTTCATGACCTAACTAACGTGCACATTGTTTCTTAAAAGTTAAAACAAGGCCTCATTTTTTTTTGGCTCAAAAGAAGTGGAAACAACTTTGAATAGTAGCAGGATTTGAGTTTTGATAGAAATCAAGTGAGAACCTGTAAAGTATGTTACATATTAAAATTTACTATACCTAAAGCATACAGGTTTATATACCAAGCCTTAAAAAAAAGGAAGAATCGATGTGACAGTAATACGTTCATTTAACCTTAAAGTAACACTTTGCAAAAGTGCAAATTTCCCAGAGGTGTTTTCACGGCCTAGCATACTACCACTGCAGTGAAACCACTCCTACAAGAGGTTACACACAAGTTCATTTCGGATACTTCGAAATTCGTAATAATTTACATTCGAACTGAAGCGAATTTGAATACTAGGTATTCGTTCAAATATTCGCACAAGCTTGCTCATAGCTGGTTCGCAGTAAAATAACAGCACTGGCCCCACACTATCAACGGCCCGGCTTCACGCTGGTTACCGGGAGCGAAGAAGAACAGGTAGAGAACCAGGCCCAAAATGGTCATCCAGGAATAGCGGCTCGGGCACCAGTTGTAGGCCCACACAAAGGGCGTTGCCGTCGGCTGCTGGCAGCTCCCGACCAGCGAGACGTCCAGGCTGTTGGGGTTCGCCGGGAGGCAAGTGGAGTTGTCGGTCGGAGCGCCCGGAATGTAACAGTAACCGCAGGCCGAGGCTCCCGTACAGGACGCGCAGGTGCTGAGCAGGAACGAACGAAACACAATGTCAGCCAATAATGTTGCACTTTCAGACGTGTCATATGCGACGCCCATAGCACATGCATATCGTTGTACGGTTGCTGCTGCAACTGCGCTTCTGCAAGTAAGCCAGTAGAGATAAAGCAAAAGCTCGTTTTGCTACGCTAAATAAAACAGAGGACAACTGGTGTACATAATGATTTACTGTTTCTAAGAGCTGTAGCAACGTCATTAATGAATTAGTGTCGGTAAAGTTTGCAACTGTCAGTGACCATTGCGGTATTTGTAATCATATGTTGTGTGCATGCATGCATGACTGAGGGACAAAATCATGCTCTGTCCCAAGACAACTAAAAGCCCCTTGCCAATCTTTATGCGCTTCTCCACGAGACACTCCCGTACTGCGGCAAAAATGAAGCATTCAACGTGCGATCCGAAAAAAATTTCAAAACTGCTGTGCCGAGTTGATTATTTTCTATTCACAGTGACCCTAGTGCTGATATATGGCTGCACTCATATATTCAAAGGGAGTGCTACAAATTCAGGACTCTCCCGGCCAAAATGAGAAAGCTGGCTGGTACGTATTACCTCCTTTTAGCCAACCTTTTAACACATGCACGGAAAGTGTTTTCACCGAAACGTGACCCAGGCAAAGCAAATCCCACGCAATAAATCTGCAGTCTCGAGCAGATCAACACGTTGATCTGCGAGAAACTGTGCGATTTAACAAGAATGCGCCGGTCACCTGAAATTGCCACAAATGCCAGACGATGGGACTATGCTGGGTCCCACAGAGGGAGACTCCATGTCGGCGAGCTGAAAGCCCCCAGCAAGCACCGACAGACTTGCAATCACACCTGCGAAGTGAAAGAAGGAAGGAAAAAAGATAGCTAATCTGAAATGTGGTCACACGGCCAAAAAAAAACATTTTAACCAAGCTCACCGTACTTCTCTGCTGTATTACAAAATACAAAATAAATAACAGCACAGCTTATTCTGTTCCAGTGCTCTAAATACAAGAGTACATAACTGACATAATGTAGCACTGACGCATATTCACACACTAATAGTTCTCTTCAGTATTGTGTCTAACAAAGAAAATGAATGTGGGTCCCTGCCCACGACAAGTCATCTTTTCATCCACTTTTCTTTCTTCACATTTACATTACAATTACTTCTAATAATATCCCCTATACTTTCCTCCGCATGATTGTCTGTTGGATCTCACTAATATTGTGTCTAACAAAGAAAACAAGCCCTTCTTCACTTAGTACTGAGTGTTAGCTGTGATTTCTAATTTGAAATGTGCGTAGACTGTCACACTAGGAGTGCAACAGCCGAAATAGAATTTGGAGCAACTTTCGGAGCACTAAAATACAAATTTGGAGCAGGTTATGGGGAGCGACACATTCAGTTTTTATCACGAAAGACCGAATTCGGAGCTGTATGAAAAAGAAGGCTTACATTTAGAAAAAAATATGTACAACCATTCGACATCCCCCAAATCGTGCTGAGTAAGTATGACCGCTGCTGTTTCAATAAAAGTAGTATTTTGAACCCCCCCATTCAGCAAACATGTCAGTCTAATTAGCATTTACCACACCTCTCAAATCCTGAGGATTCTGAGGACCCAGATGTGGACCTTCCAAGCTGGAGGCCTTGAGACTCAGGAGATATGCAAAATTGAACAGTAGGGGCCACAAAAAAAAAAGAAAAAAAGGAAAACTGCCACAGTTTTGTTCAAGTTTTCAAAGGAGCAGAAATGTCATACATTGCTGCAAATCACTTCCAGTAACACATTTTAGATGTCAGCGATCATACCAGTGCCGATAATTATGCGGCAAATACACGCATCGGTAACTGCACAAACTGTGCACAGGAAAAGTCACAGGACTAGCGCTAACAGCTCCTTCCACATTTTGTTGCAGCAAAGGCAGCTTAAGTGGCGTTCTGCACGGGTTAGAACAAGACCACGACATTTTCGAACCGCTGCATGCCCCCGCTCCCCTTTTCCCTATGGGCTTATGTTTAAGTATAATTTCTCGGCTTGCTTGCAAGACGCATTTGACAAGATAATGTAACAGCACACAGCCGTCGGCCGGGTGGCGGCACTGGATATCTATCGTGGTGGTCAACAACAGTGATCGCAGCACGTCTATGTTTGTTTGCACGTAGTGGAAGAAGCATGCGCTACCAACTGCAGTTTATTACATGCCGTAGCTCCATTTACTGACTAGGAAATTCATACTTCTTGCGAAGGGTTGGTGGCTATAGCAACACATTTTTGTCTTGAAGTTGTGTCGTCCGGCTGATAGATCCACTGTGATCAGCGGCCCTATGAGCATGCTGCGTTGTTACTTCATCTGGCTGATCTTATCTCGCGAGTGTCCTGACCTAATGAGCACGCCTGGATTCCTGAACTGATTGATGACGCAAACTACAGAGGGCCTACGTTGCCTCCATTTCTGGCTGAAATCAGCACAACTGAGAAAATTTTGAGGCTGATCCGGCATCTTGGCACGGCGCGGCACGATTTCAGCAAATTTCATGGTTTTGGTGCTCGGCACAAGAATTAGGAATGGTATTGAATTGGCGCAATTTGGCACAGCTGTTGCACCCCACACGCAGTGGTTCATAGCTGAGAAAAGCAGATGGCATCGAATTTCATGGGCGCATGTGAGCATGTAGCTATAAGCAAAACATGGTCAAACGGTATGTGGCGCAAGCGTCAGTTTAAGCCAGCCAAGGCCATGCAGAGCAACATTTGAGTCAACCATGCTGACAGCTGTACTATAAGCACTAGAAAAGATACAGCAAAAGTTCGGCTTCTTCTTCGAAGACACATCGTACGTCCTTTGCCGTGGGTATCAATCAGCTCAGCGGCAATCCTGCCGGGCCTTTTACCTGCAAGGCTGAGCAGGGTGAGGAGACGACGGCCAATCCTCTCGACGAGCGCCATACCAATGAAGGAGCAGGCAAAGTTGACAAAGGACGTTGCCGCAGCCAGCCAGATCGCCTTGGACGCGTCGTGCACTCCCGACATTTGTATGATTGTAGCGCCATAATACCTGCCAAACAAAAAAGGGGCTTCTTGGTGGCCTGCTGACGTGCAAAAAAGCCGCGCATTGATATTTCAAGAAAGTGGCGCATCGGTGCGCAGTTGAATGTTTTAAAGCAAAACCTGTTATGAGATCAAAACAAAAGCACCGTAGTTGTCGGCCCCCAGTGCCCGTGACAGATATCGCAAGAAAAAAAAAAGAAATAAGACGAGAAATCCTTGGTGGAACGGGGTTCGAACACTTTAGTACTCTACCACTGAGCCAAGCCAAAGCCAACACTCAGAGCTCCTGTGCATCAAAACCCTACACAAGCGTTATGCCAGGAAGGGACCACGTTAGACACACAATATGGCGTGGTAAAAGAGTAAAATAACAACCAGTTGTCAGAGATTGCAAATCGTGTAGTCAGGCATCACACAATATGAATCGCATTATGAGTGGGTCGTTGAATGCTTCCAACCCATTACAAAGAGCTCAGCCATAATTCTTCGTAGTCATCAGCCACCTAATCAATTAATGGCATTGTGGGTACCTTGCAGGCGCACTTAATATTAGTGCAGGCATTAATATTATTATTGCAGGCATACATATTAGTAGCCCCAAGAGAGTTCGCAACGGGGTCTAGAGATACGCTCTTCCAGCTTTCACTGCGACTGTGCTGCACTTTCAGTGCAGGCCAAGCATTATTTTATTTATTTTTTTCAATGACATGCTCAGAATCTCCCAAGCACTCTGTTGCGGTACATAAATGATCCTAAGAACACCCCCGCAGGCCGCAAGATCGAATCCCGGCCACAGTGGCCACGCTTTAAGTGTTGGCAAGAAATGCCCGAGGCCCGTGTTCTTAGATGTAAGTGCACATTTTAAAGAGCCCCAGGTAATCGAAATTTCCAAAGCACTTCACAACGGCACCTCTCATTATCATATGTGGTTCTGGCACATTAGTCCCCAACAACTAACCCAAGAACACGGGCCACATTTGACATGCAGCTGAGGCTCATTAAAGAAAATGAAAACACATCTAGAAAGACCAAAGGAAAGAAAAAAGAATTGTAGGCAACCCCGATACTTGACTTAGGTGTCTGGTAGCAGCACTTGCACCTCAGCATTCGTGCGTCGTGACGTATTTCGTGGGTTAAGCGTGCATTTCATCGCACCACCGGAGTGGATCTCGGAGGCCACACAGTAAAAAGGGCGTGTTTGATACCTGCTCCACCATGTGCCACAATGGTCCCTGCCGCTCACTAGAAAACCATCTTCTCTTTTGACAAACTCGGTTGATTAATTTCTTTTAATTATCCTTACACCTGATTGGCACTAATCCTAAGTACAACTAACTATGCTTCATTATCATATGCGTACAATATAACTTTTAACTTGAACCAGAGCCATCAATCCTGTACCAGTTTCATTTCCTTAAAAGACTTCCTTTGAACATTGATAAGAGAACCAGAAGTGCTTGGAAGAGAAACAAGAAAGGCCCTTGTCGCTCTACCACCACAAGAAAAAAACTGAGGTGTTATTACACAGACTTAGAACGTGCTAACGACCATTAAGCGAACGGCGAGGCAGTTGTGAAGAAGAGGTAGTGCCACCTACATGACAGTATTAATGCCTGCAATCTGCTGAAACATCATCAGAGCACATCCCACGATGAGCGCCAGGCGCAGCGGGCCGTCTCGCAACACTTGAATCAGCACGAACCCAGCTGCGCAAGAGGCCAAGGCAATGTGGTGTCACTGCTAGTAAGGCATTGTGATTGACCGATTAATTGATTGGTTGATTGAGCAAAGGTCACACAGTTTAGCTCACAACAGCTGCACAACAGAACAAGGCAATGCAATGTCACTCCTAACAAGGCATGATTGACTGGATGATTATGATTGATTGAATGATTGATCGAGCAGAGGTTAACACAGTGGCTCTGTACCCTGACACACAATTCTCGTTTTCAATCTGCTAAAATAAGTACTGCTTTGCCAATGTTTACGGTCACGTAGTTATCCAACTGTGAAATGGTTGGATAACTGTGACATGTGCTATGCGGAAAACAACGTAAAAAAGCTTTCTCCGTAAAATATTACCAAGTCTACTTGAAGATTTGAACTGCTGTTTTACTGGACCAAACCTGAAAAACCGAACAGAAAACTGCCACACCTTTCGCAATAATTCAAGGAAACGGTGCTACTGCCCTTAGAAATACACTCAAACCTTGCCATAACACAGACATAAAGAATTACCGATTACAAAAAAAAAATTAAATGAAGAACGGTTTACCTCAAGTACAGAGGTATGAATACAGTATAAGCTTATAATAAATTCTTGGATATAACTATAAACTATTTTCACATCAGCTGAAACTTCATTACAATGAGGTTTAAGTGTACAGTCAATATCTACATCTGCAGTTTTGCATACCATAAATGAGCTCCTACAATAGAAGGAGCAACCTTTATGATGTGTTTTTACACTTAAAAGTTTAAAAGCCCACACCTACAGTGCACGAGTCGCCTTCAATGCTCAAAGGTGGCGAGACTGCACTGTATAGTCAAACACTATAGGACTGATTGCTGGGCCAGCTGGTGACAATACTTGAACATATTTTAACTTAGCGCATGGCTACACAGACAAAAAAGAAGGGAGAAACCGCAGCGCTGACTCACAACTTAATTTTTTATTAGAAAAACATGAACGGAAAAGGAATGCTTCAACCTTCCCCCGCATGTGACCACACTAAGGCAAGAAAAAAGTAGATCAGCTGACATTTTGAACAATGAAAAACCCTTGACACATCCCAAGTGTACTCTCCAACAGCATAAAAGTTAAGATATCGTGCTAAGAACCTAACCCCGCTATCATGTAGGGCTATAGGAGGCACCCCAATGCATTGTCCCCCCTTTTTTTTTATAACATATGCTTCAATTATTTTTCATGTGGTTTGACCTCTGTGTGTCAATAGAACTTTTGCTTCATGAAAGATACATAGGCCAAACAAGTAGATGCATTAAAATTAGATTGTTGGAACACAGATGTTCTTTGCAAGATAATGTATTATACTCCCATGTGTCTCAACATGTTACGCGGTGCCATTGCACACCCATCTTTCATGAAGCAAACCTTCTATCGACACACAAAGATAACAGACACACAGAAAAAATAATTGAAGCATATAATGTATAAAAAAAAAGGGCTGAACAATGCAAGCATGCCTTCTATAGCCCTACCAGATAGCGAGGTTAGGTTCTTAGATAGCACGATATCTCAACTTTTTTGCTGTTGGAGAGAACCCGTGGGATGTAGCAAGCTTTCTTTTATTGTTCAAAACGTCAGCTGATCTGCTTTTTCTTGCCCTAGTGTAGTCACATGGGTGTGAAGGTTGAAACGTTTCTTTTCCGTTCATGTTTTTTTTTTTTCCAATAAAAATTCCGTTGCGGGTCAGCGCTGCGGTTTGTGCCTTCTTCTCTTCCGCCCGCGTAGCCGTGCGCCGTGTTAAAATATGTTCAAGTACATACTCACACACGCCTGGACACGGAAGATAAAGCGGATCGCTGAATAAGAAAGGCTCACAGTGTTCTTCGTCTTGATCGTTGTCGATGCAGGTGGCCTTGAGGGCTTCGAACTCGGGCTCAATGTTGGCATCGGGACCGCGAAAGCGTCGCAGCACTTCGATGGCTTCCTGATAAGCGCCCTTACTAGCAAGCCAACGGGGGGTCTCGGGCATGCCCAGGAAACCCAGTAACTGGATCAGTGAGGGCACGCCCGCCAGGGCCAGCATGTAGCTGCGGGCGGTGCACAGGGAGAGAAGAGGGCGTTACGATCACCACAGTTGGTAAAAAGGAAACTACAACGGAACTTTCTGATGAGAAAACACTCAAGGGACCCAGGAAACGCTCCTCCTGTAACCAAGGTTTCTTGCAACCAAAAATGGTTAAATCACCAAGCCTGACTATGTCACCTTCGGCCGCTGTGTCCATATATGCGAACGCAACTTGTCTTGGCCAGGTTTTTTTTTTTTTTTTCAACTAGTGGACGTATATTTTACGTAGCACGAATTGAGGCTCCAGCAAAGTCAGTTTACCTTGAATTAACCTCTGTATTGCATATGGCTACAGCCGATCAATTTGGTGAAGGCACTATGCTGTTCGGCAGGTTATTCAGCGTGCCATATTTGAAAACGAATGTGAGAAGTGTTATTTTCCTTTTCTTGAAATCAATGTAACTGAAAACGAATTGCACATGCACTTTGAGCGTGAGATCTTTTTCTTGAAAATTGGCAGATGACTCAGTGAAGAATAATTAATTATATAATTACATATTGTTACGGATGTGATGGGTTTATTTACAATGAAAAATGTCAGCGCTCTGCCGTCACTGCCGAATCACCATCGCTCGAGCGCGCCCGATCTCTTCTTCTTCCTCGCTCTTTCAGTCCGCGTTACATTTCCCTCCGGGCCAGACGAAGCTCACCGAGCGAGTAGAAGCGATCGGTTGTTGTAGGGCTTCAATCGGGCAATGTGCACAATTTGCGTCTTGCGCGAACGCCGGTTCTGAGCTGTCACTCTCGCGACAGCGTAAGTGATGTCACTTAAGCACTGAGTAATGACAAACGGTCCTGAGTACTTAGAAAGAAACTTCTGGCAAAGTCCCTTTTTTCGAACAGGCGTCCACAGCCAGACCAAATCACCTGTAGCGAAAGTCACGGGCGGGTGTTTTGCGTCGTAACGGTCTTTCGCGCGAGCGTGGGCGGAAAGAGTTCGGAGCCGAGCAACTCGACGAGCTTCTTTGGCGCGACACAAAGTCTGCGCGACACTGGCGTTTTCGTTCGTCGAAAATGGAAGTATGGTGTCAAAGAAACTTTAGCGGATGACGAGCACAGAGAAGAAAGAAAGGCGTATAACCTGTGACTTCGTGTTTCGCGGTATTAAAGGCGTATGTAACAAAAGGTAATACGGCATCCCAGTTCTTGTGATCCGCTGCGACATACATTGAAAGCATGTTGATGATGGTACGATTGGTGCGCTCAGTGAGGCCGTTGGTCTGAGGGTGGTATGGCGTGGAATGGCGATACTGACACCCACAAAGCCGTAGCAACTCTTCGACAACGTCAGCGGTAAACTGACGGCCGCGATCACTTACCACCACACGAGGGGCCCCGTGACGAAGTATGATCGAGTGTAGAAGAAACCATGACACATCAGATGATGTGGCTGAAGCAACCGCCATCGTTTCAGTATACCGCGTCAGGTAATCTACGCACACAATAATCCAGCGGCGGCCGGTGGTAGACTTGGGGAAAGGGCCCAGTAAATCTATGCCGACTTTTTCGAATGGTGATGTCGGTGGCTTAACCGGCTGCAGTGGGCCGGCCGATGGTGTGGTAGGTTGTTTGTGGCGTTGGCAGACATCACAACTTGCGACGTAGTGCTTGGTGGTCTTCCAGAGTCGAGGCCAGTAAAAACGTTGTCGGATACTCACCGTATACTCACAGCGCTCGGGCAAATCCAAGGTGCCCAGACGTGATGTCATCGTGCATGGCTTGGAATACCGCAAGACGCAGGCATTCTGGCACGACGAGTAGTAGTGTGGAACCATGGCTGGAGTAATTCTTGCGATATAGTAGGGCGTCATGAATCACGAATGGCGTGGCGCGTTTAGAGCTACGAGCCACATCAATCATTGGTTTCAGCGAAGGGTCACGCTGTTGTTCGTGACGAAAGACATCCAAATTTGGGAAGTTGGATGAGATTGCGGCCAGGTAGTTGTCAAAATCATCATCATCAGCATCCACAGTTGGAGATGGAAGACGAGATAAGCAGTCGGCATCTGCGTGACATCGACCGCTCTTGTAGGTCACAGAATAATTATATTCTTGAAGCCGTAAGGCCCAGCAAGCCAACCGACCAGCTGGGTCACGTAATCCGACAAGCCAACAAAGCGAATGATGATCTGTGACGATCTTGAACTGCCGGCCGTACAAATAAGGTCTGAACTTTTGGACGGCGAAAACAACTGCATGACATTCCAGTTCGGTGACCGTATAATTCCTCTCCGCCTTAGTCACAACGCTAAGCCGATGGTTGTGTTCGTGGAATGTCTTGCCAAAAATAATTACATCATCGAGATAACACATACATATCTCCCATTTGAGACCGCGAAGGATGGAGTCCATGAATCGCTCGAAGGTAGCTGGGGCATTGCATAAGCCAAGCGGCATAACGTTGAATTCAAATAATCCATCAGGCGTGACAAAAGCAGTCTTCTCTTTGTCAGACGGATGCATTGGTATTTGCCAGTATCCAGACCTTAGGTCGACAGACGAAAAGTAGGCAGCCGAGTGCAGACAATCAACAGCATCGTCGATGCGTGGTAGCGGATACACGTCTTTCTTTGTGACGGCGTTGAGACGGCGGTAGTCTACACAGAATCGTCAAGAGTTGTCTTTCTTTTTTACCAATATAACATGAGCTGCCCAGGGACTGCTTGACTTTTGAATAACGCCTTTCTGCAGCATGTCGTTGACCTGATCAGCGATCACTTGCCTCTCTGACGGGGATACGCGATAGGGTTTCTGGCGTATCGGTGTAGCATCTCCCGTGTTGATGCGGTGGTGCATACGGGATTCGGGTAACATGGAACAACGCTTGTTTTGAGCGAAATCAAAGACTCCCGCGTAGCGTGTAAGTACCTCCTCAAGGACACTCTGCTCGGAAGAAGGCAACGACTTGTTGATCATACGTTTAATCTCGGCTGAGTAGTTGGGCGCAGTCTGACTGATAGCTGGAGACTCTGAGACCATTCTCACGTCAATTGTGGCCTGCTCCTCGAACGTACCCAGTTTGAATCCGGCTGGTAGAACAACAGGCTCTGAGGCTGCGTTGAGTGCCCACAAGCAAGCATGTTCGTCGATGGCTGTAAGGACAGACCGTGGGGCCAGCACATTCTTCTTAATGGCGTTTGCATGATCAGGCTCCACAAGTCCAGTGCAGGGTCCTGAGCGGACATGAGAAGAGCATACGGGTACAAACACTGCTGTCCGACCAGGGATCGTCACATCTTCAGACAACGAAAGAGCATCGATGGGCAGAGTCGGAAAATCGTCAACTATTGCAGCGGGCAACGTACTTTGTAGAATAATCTCTCCAGTTCCACAGTCAAGCGTAGCGCCGCATTCATGAAGGAGGTCTATCCCTAAAATGATGTCATGAGTTGCGCGAGCCAGTACGGTGAATTCAACTCGGAAATTTTGTCCACCAATCGTGAGTACAACTGAACAAATACCAACAGGGCATAACGTTTCGCCTCCAACTCCACGAAAAGTTTCTTTACGATTCCACGCAAACATAACTTTGTGACCCAAGAAACGATGTTTGAAACGAAGGCTCATAACCGAAACAGCAGCACCAGTGTCTACAAGAGCAAGAGTGTCTACACCGTCTATACACACACGCACTTTGTTCATCAACATCAGAGCAGAAGGAGGAATTGGCGAAACTGACCGTCCCGCGACCGCACCTCCATTGGTCGCACCAGTTAGTTTCCCAGCTGATGCGGGGAAGGTGACCGACGACGCGGAGACGGCGACCGGCGGGACCGTGTCGGAGGCGGCGTCAGGCTTCTCTCGGAGGCAGGGGACTCGCTGCGAAATTCGTTAGGCCATTGCTGTCGGGGACGGTGGTCGGCCGAGTGAGAGGTCCAGGTTTCGTGCATACGAGGCGGGTGCGTCGAAAAAAGTGGCGGCACAGGCGTTTCGTACATACGAGCCGGATACGTCGAAAAACGTGGCGGTGCAGGCGGCCGTCTGGGACAGAAGCGCGAAATATGCCCTGGGAGACCACATGTGTAGCAAACGGGGACTTGTCGACTTACGTTAGCCGGAGCAGAGGTGGCAGAAGTACGCGGAGACGGGTCGTGCTCCGCAGGAACATTTTGTGATGAAGCATAGTAATCTTCTGGTTGACGACGGTCGGGGGTCCGCAGCAGCACGTCGAGATGATGACATCCGGTGGTGGCCACGACCCGTCGGGGAAAACGGAAGCCGCGGGGTAAAATCTGCAGTTTCTGTGCGTGGTCGGTTTTCGACGTGACGCTCTCGCATCCAGTAGGAAGGTGGTTCGGGGCACGCAGCGAACGAGCATTGGTGGTGAACGTCACCTGCTTGAAGTCGTACGAGCTCTTCTCGAACTACCCGACGTACGAGGTAGGAAATGTCTTCGCAGGTGGCGACGTCCATACTTGCGACAGTGGGAACATTGTCCAAGCGCCCGAACTTGGGTAAAATTCTTCGGGTCTTCAACGCCTCGAATGCGCGACACTGCTGCCTGAAAATCGAAGGGGTGTTCAAGTTTTGTTTTGTTATCAAAAAATTGTACACGTCCTCGGCGATGCCTTTCAACAAATGACCAACTTTGTCTTCGTCAGACATATTTGCGTTGACAATTCCGCAAAGCTTCAACACTTCTTCAATGTAGGTTGTGCACGTCTCGCCGGTCAACTGAGCCCTACGTGACAGCGTTTGCTCAGCTTTCTTTTTCATGGAACTCGTGTCCCCAAAGCAGGCCTTCAGTTCCTTAACAAATATATCCCAAGTGGGGAGGACATGTTCATGGTTCTCAAACCAAAGCAAGGCTGTCCCGGCAAGGAAGAATACTACGTTCACGAGCTTCGCCGGTGCGCCCCATTCGTAGTAGCGGCTCACTCTCTCGAAGTGTTTTAGCCAAGCGTCCACGTCTTCGTCAGTTTTACCTGAGAAAATTCGTGGCTCAGGTGCCCAGTAGTCTGGTTGTCGAGGTCGACGGCCACCTTGTGCCGTGTCGGTGGCACTGGTGGATGCAGCAGCGTAGGACGTCGATGGGATTGCTGTGTCGTCGTTCATGCTGATGTTGTCCGGAGGTAGGCCAGCTAAGCGTCTGCTTCTTCGAAGAACTTCTGCTGCGGGGTCCAGGATGGCAAGTTACCCAGCACCGCTCCACCAAAGCTGTTACGGATGTGATGGGTTTATTTACAATGAAAAATGTCAGCGCTCTACCGTCACTGCCGAATCACCATCGCTCGAGCGCGCCCGATCTCTTCTTCTTCCTCGCTCTTTCAGTCCGCGTTACAATATTAATTGTATTTATTTACTGAAACTGCCATGAAAACAATGTATTACTTCCATTTCTTTGTCGGAGTGCAATATCAAACACCTTTGAATTACGTGGAGCGATTCTGACACATTTGCACAGAAAATCCAACACAATTCCCACCTGAAGGGGATGTCACTTTACTACATACATCAGCCTCAAAATGCATTTAGACACGTCTACAGGCAATTGCTCAAGATGGCCTAAAAAGGTCGTTCATAGTCGCATGTTTTTTTTAATAACTGCAGGTTGTATAGTCTTTCTTCTAAACTTCTGGAACAAAAGCACTTTTCATCCAAAGTGACCAATACCATGGACATTGTGACAGAAATCCAACTAGACGGTTCTCTGTCTCAGTCGGTGTGGGAGCATGCCAATGAAAATAAAAACATAATTGCAAAAAGTTTGTAATTTGTAGTTAAAACTATGCAAAGAATGACATCTGTTGTGGAATGCACAGAATTGAGCCAAGGAAACGGCAATAGAAGTGCATACCTGCTGGTACAACATTGGCCGCGTTGCATGAGCGTGCCTGGACAGTAAGTCTTCAAAATGGTGAATAATTTGCTCAATAGAACCAAAAATGCTGCCCAGAGGAACAGAGTGTCTGTTGTAACCATGTATCTTGTATGCAATGCTGTTTACATGAACATAGAAAGACCAAACAAAATATTTTCAAATGTCTTTTGTGACGAATTGTCTCTAGTAACGAGATTTTACTGTACCTCTTAATGCATAAGCATTACACCGATAGCCTCCTCTTGCACAAGTAATGATCTAGACTTTAACAATGTGTCAGGCCAACACAACTTTATTCCAAGGCCTTCTATAATCTATTGCAAAAAACAGAAGGTGGTAATATACCAATCTGTCTGTATTCAGTAATTAATCATAGTTAGAGCATAATCAACAAATATTTCTTCTTCGGTCTGTCATGTTGCATTTCTGCATAAGAATAACCAGATCTCCAACTCAAATTACAAGTATCATTTGCCATCGGTTATACCCATTCCCAGCAAACAAAAATCATTGTTCTGGAGTGGCTCACAGAATGTGACACATCAAACAACTCATCGAACATCATAGAGGCTTCAACAAAGTGATACTCTGCAGCATGCCCTACACAAGGAGGTTAAATGAACACTAACAGTCCACTATGGAAGTGTCTACAAATGTGCACACCATGTTGCAAGTAAGCTTACTTGTTTATTTAAGCATTACAGCGGTGGGTGGGTACTATTAACAAAAATGCAATAAATATACAACAAATTATATGATTAGTGTTTGAAAAATTGGTCCCGTGTCTGCATGCTTCACTGCAAATTATGTCCAAAGATGGTAATTTGATTGATTTATTTGTGGGCTTTAACGTCCCAAAACCACCATATGATTATGAGAGACGCCGTAGTGGAAGGCTCCGGCAATTTCGACCACCTGGGGTTCTTTAATGTGCACCCAAATCTGAGCATACAAGCCTACAGCATATTCACCTCCATCGAAAATACAGCCGCCGCTGCAGCATCGTTTTGATCTCACGACTCGCGGGTCAGCAGCCAAGTACCTTAGCCACTATACCACCGGGGTGGGGCGACGTTTAAAGACGATAGTCTTCTCTCTGGAAGCACTGTGTGAGATTTAGATGCCATCTGGCAGTGATGTAGAGAAACAAAAGTTCTTTATAATGCAGATGAACAGGTAGGTGGCAGCACCGAGCAAAGCGTAGGAAACACCCGCTTTTTCGTTCATAGCGTTGCATTGTCAGGGCAGCGTACTAAACCCTGCGGTCTTTAGAATTGCGTATCAATTCATTTTCTAACTAAAGACACGCAGTACTCAACACCCGAGCATCGATGTTACGTCCAAGTATGCCCGATATTTACTTTTGGAATGACAATGTTCACTAGTATGAACGCAGTCAGGGGATCAAGATTAGTGATTGTTCAACAAGGAGCTCAACTTTCTCCCAAGTGGCTGAATTGATTGACAGACAGACAGGCAAAAATTACTGTATTAAAGTATCCAAGGAAAGACCATTGTCTTTCAAATAATCACTTGTTAGAGTCTCAAGATATCATCGGTTAACGCAGCCATAAAAGATTATGCATCCTCAATGCAGGTGATGGAGGAGGGAAGGTGGTTTTACTTTGCACTGGCACAAAGGAGTCTCACATAACAGGACGGATGACGCACCTTTATTGCTGATCTGTACAAGTAAAGCTCCTATGAACACTTGTTGGTATGACTTCATGACTGTTCGTCGTTATGCAAGTTCTTGGCAGCACAAACAGTCGTGAAGATGGTGTACAATTGTACACGTCGCCACTGAAAGGGTTAGCCTACAATGATTAATAAAAGGAAGCCATATTTAACACTTTAACATTAAATGGCTAGCCCACTGGAAAACCTGTCTGTCCATCATAGAAAACCCCTCACAATGTGGGCTCATCCCAAAGATGGCGCAGCTTGGAACTAACACAGATTTGGCATTTCAGTAGAAGCATGCAGAGATATGCCTGCAAGATCCACAAAATTATTGTCAAGTAGCATTGTACAATCAAATACTCAATAGCCAGTTTAACAATGATCGAAGGATAGGTTCAGCACATACTGCAACTTATGTTGTGGCGAAGCCTGTATGCAGATAACGTCCGCATAATGTAGCACCAGTAAACTCCCAGGAAACAAAAATCTCTTAAGCAGAGCCGCTGTTTGAATGGGACAACTACTTTCATTATGACTGGTTTTGTACTTGAATTCTGCCCCGCTGTTCCTCTCCCAGTGAATTGAAATACTGTTAAATGAAACACATTTGTCTAGTCCCTGCAGGTTACATTTATCAAGAGTATGCTGTACAACGAACAACAGTGCAAGTCTCACCGCCAGCCATTTTCAGTGTCGCTGCTGAACAGGCCATCGACAATGCTGGCAACAAACTGCCCTCCCGTGATGAAAACCTGGTTGATCGTGACCAGGAATCCTCGAAGCTCAGCCGGCGACACCTCGGCTATGTAGACTGGCACGGTCATGGACGCCAGGCCTGCGGAACAACCATGCATGCCGGTTAGTGGGAATACAAAACCAAAGGCCAAGTATGGATTAATTGTCCAACTCAAATGGGCCCTGCAACACGTGACTTTTAGAGCATGGTCAGGAAACGCTGCCGATGGACAATCGAAGTTTAATGGGAGTCAGACGTCTTAACGCAGCATGCAGCAGAATTTACAATCCAGTTGTATGTTTTTTCCTTCTTCACTGTTCCATCTTTTCTTCATGCTCAAACCGAGCTGCGCTACAGCTACATGTTACTGCACCAACTAGCCCCATCTGCAGTACTTATTCCAGAAGTTAAGAAGAAATCGCCCACTCTTTTCTTGAAGAACGATGCCATAATACAAAATGACAGTGACCTGGAAACACGAAACCCATGACCATTGGCTAATCTGAACATTGTGGCTTGCACAGTTACTGCGGCCGTCATCTCAAGCCACGACATGGCGGCTTCGAACTCTACAGTGCTAGAATTATATGCAGTATACTAGCGCGCTCACCTTCACACTGAAACTTAAGTGCATGTTTGAAGGAAAAAAAAAGGATGTTCACGGTCATGAGGCATGCTGACGAAATGAAGTAGCTTCATGCGCTCGCTGGTACGAATGGACAAAGAAAGCACATAAAGGATGTGACAAAACCCCATAACTTTGCACTTATTCGACAAATTCCAAGAATTTCTCACAGTCGTCGATTCAGGAGGCAATTTAGTCATTTGATGAAGTCCTTCAATGATTACCAAGTGTTGCAGGGCCCCTTTTAAAGGAAAAATAAAGGGCCAAAATAACGATGATTACAGACAACCGTTGTGCTGATATAAGCAGTTTAAGCTATTTTGAATAACGAAAAGATGAGTTAGTTAGGGCTCATAGTAAATTATATGGGGCAATGCCACAACGAATACAAGGACAGGAAAAGGTGGGACATGTACTTAGCTTCTATTAGCGCGGCACATATGAAAAGGAAAGAGGAAAGAATACAGAGACGTCAAGACAGGTAGGCGCTAAACTTCCAACTGTTTATTTCATGCACTTGACACCCATCTTATACATGCGTAGAAACACGACTCATCTTGCACGTGGTGACATCCCAAGAAACGTCATTTCCTTATCTGTCAAAGCAATCGAAGGTGAACTCACACACAAGTTCCCCATTTTTTCTATTGCCTCGGCTTCTTTGATCTCACGTGTCAGCTGATTGCGAGACCGGCTGATAACGGTGCAGCTATACAGATCAGGGGAGCACCCACACTCCTTGCAGTGCGCCGCCAAGAACCCTCCCGCTGAAAGTTTATTTCTCGCGTTGTAAGCATGTTCACGCAGTCTATCATTAAGACACCGCTTAGTCTGTCCTATGTAATATCTTCCACACGATAACAAGAACACGTACACAACGCAACACACACAATCTACATATCTAACCTGATGTTTCTTATCACATACTAAGCGAATAGAACTAATTGGGCAGGTCAACTTGCAAAGCTCCCCTAGTTTTTTGGGGGCTGAAAACACCACACGTACGTGAGCCCGCTGGGCTACCTTCTTCAAGTTATGAGAGACAGTATGCATATATGGGATTACGCCTATTCTGCTACCCGAACACTCCAACACTTGTTGCCTATCTTTCTGTGAAGCTTTGAGGATACGCTCAGCTACAGAGACCTGCAGCAGAACAGGGTACCCTGCTTCGGTGAGACGCTTACTCTGAGTCATGAAACTGTGTGCCATTTTGTGATGACACGATTTTGCTAGGGCGTTTTTAAAACACAAGTTTGCGATTCCTCTCTTTATAAGCTTAGAGTGCGCCGAGACAAAAGAAAGCAGAGGCTTATTTGCCCGTGGCTCATACGACCAGCAAGTGTGATTTCCTAGAAAAAACAACCGGATATCCAAAAACCGCAGAGAGGCACCTTGGGGGAGCTCGCAAGTAATTTCAAGGGGTGCGAGACATTCCTTAATCGCTGGTAATACTTCTTCAACCTTCGCTTCAGTATTACCAGCGATTAAGGAATGTCTCGCACCCCTTGAAATTACTTGCGAGCTCCCCCAAGGTGCCTCTCTGCGGTTTTTGGATATCCGGTTGTTTTTTCTAGGAAATCACACTTGCTGGTCGTATGAGCCACGGGCAAATAAGCCTCTGCTTTCTTTTGTCTCGGCGCACTCTAAGCTTATAAAGAGAGGAATCGCAAACTTGTGTTTTAAAAACGCCCTAGCAAAATCGTGTCATCACAAAATGGCACACAGTTTCATGACTCAGAGTAAGCGTCTCACCGAAGCAGGGTACCCTGTTCTGCTGCAGGTCTCTGTAGCTGAGCGTATCCTCAAAGCTTCACAGAAAGATAGGCAACAAGTGTTGGAGTGTTCGGGTAGCAGAATAGGCGTAATCCCATATATGCATACTGTCTCTCATAACTTGAAGAAGGTAGCCCAGCGGGCTCACGTACGTGTGGTGTTTTCAGCCCCCAAAAAACTAGGGGAGCTTTGCAAGTTGACCTGCCCAATTAGTTCTATTCGCTTAGTATGTGATAAGAAACATCAGGTTAGATATGTAGATTGTGTGTGTTGCGTTGTGTACGTGTTCTTGTTATCGTGTGGAAGATATTACATAGGACAGACTAAGCGGTGTCTTAATGATAGACTGCGTGAACATGCTTACAACGCGAGAAATAAACTTTCAGCGGGAGGGTTCTTGGCGGCGCACTGCAAGGAGTGTGGGTGCTCCCCTGATCTGTATAGCTGCACCGTTATCAGCCGGTCTCGCAATCAGCTGACACGTGAGATCAAAGAAGCCGAGGCAATAGAAAAAATGGGGAACTTGTGTGTGAGTTCACCTTCGATTGCTTTGACAGATAAGGAAATGACGTTTCTTGGGATGTCACCACGTGCAAGATGAGTCGTGTTTCTACGCATGTATAAGATGGGTGTCAAGTGCATGAAATAAACAGTTGGAAGTTTAGCGCCTACCTGTCTTGACGTCTCTGTATTCTTTCCTCTTTCCTTTTCATATGTGCCGCGCTAATAGAAGCTAAGTTCATGGATAACCAACTCGCCCGAGCCACAACACTTGTGGGACATGTGCTGTCTGTATTGCACTGCATTACATGCGCTGCATTGCGACGCAGCACATGTCCTGTCTTTTCTCGTCCTTGTATTCATTCTAGCACTGCCCCATATGATTCATTAAGCTAAGTTTTTGCAGCTTGATCAGTAGTTAAAAAGCCTGCTACTTACAAGGAGCAGCACAGCTGATGACCAAAGCAAATAGCAAAAAGTACAATGTTGCAACATTATGCTCTAAGATGACCACATTTCTGTTGCCACACTCTGACAAAGCATACATTTCTTGCAAAACTAAGTAGAAACGTGATCAAACAAGAGCTCCTATTGTAAATTCTTGGCAAGCTTCAAGGCTTTCCGAAAATTCTATCCAGTTTTAAATGCCAAGTACTCGAACCTCATTATAACAAACTTGCATCTTATATGAATATAAGTTCGTTATATCCAAAAATTCGTTATAAAAGTTTATTCTTAACACTAAATATATTGCAAAACTATCTTTCATTTACTTCGTTACAACTGATATTTCATTATATCTGGATTCATTATATCGAGGTTAGAGTGTATTTTCATTTAAAGCTATCAAACTAAGCCAAGAAACTGTATTAAGCAGTGCAGCAAACAAATATTCTTGAATTTTGCCATCCCAAGGTACAAGGAACAAGCCTGGGGTTTAAACCCATGACTTTCCACTCAACAGAAAAATGCCACGGCCGTTCGAATAACTAGCTTCAATGAGGAAAGTTGAAACTAAGACTACCAACGCTCGTGAAGAAAAAAATATAGTCTGCTTAGAATAAGAAACATTTCAGCCTGTTCTTCTATAAATAGAAAATGTCATCAATACAACGAAATACATTGATACAGTGGACGAGCAGGTGCATTAACAAGTTTTATTTTTTGCACTTTATCTCGGCAAGTACAGTTATGCCACAGCACCTGCACAACATGAAAACACTTCGGCGACTTTGAATGTATGCAGAGAGTTGCTGCATTTAGCAAACAATCCCTTCACTTGGTGAGTCAGTCTAGAAAATCTGAGATTTCATTTACTTGATTCCATCGGTACAGCAAAATTACCAAGTCACTTGCCACAATTTAAAGGAGTACTATGCAAATTTTACATACTCCTGGTTGTGACTCCAAATAACATCACAGGCATCAAAAACCCTAAAAAGAGTGTTGCGACGCTTTGGAACGCACTGAATGTGTTTATAGTACCACTACCTTAAAACTACGATTTCGGCTTCGGTATCGAGAGGATCGCTATGCAGAGACGTGTCAACAGAAATCTGATGTCACAGGCAAGACTGCAACTCGTGACATACTAGCAACAGCTGTTTGCTGTCAGTCGCATGTGTTCCACAAAAACAAGTGGATTGTCGTCCGGGCACTCGCAGTGATTTCTGTGATTTAGGCTGCATACAGGGCACAAGGGCTCGCAAACCCAGTCGACTGTCCTCGACTCTTTGGGACAATGTCTGTCGTGGTGGGATCAGCTTCCAGATGCTGGGTGACGGAAACTCTAAAACATCAAAGTAAAGTATTTTGCATGTGTTGTCTGGCTCCAGTATGTGGAGAGCGATGACAGCACACTCCATGGAAACGAAAAATGTCCCTTATGGAGTGCCTCGAAATCGTGTCAGTACTCCTTCAATCCCTTCATTCATCCTGTGTCTTTTTTTTTTTTTCTGCATGCTATGTGGGAATTTTGTGCTAGCAATGTAGTAGGTTGCTCTGCCACCCATTTCATTTTTATTGAGCATTATCTCAAATAAAAAAGGTCCCACTAATTACATGTGAGTTCCCAATTACAAGCAATTAGCCACTAATTCACAGTGAAGAGTTACATCGTTCAATTTTGTTGGTGTTTAAATTAATCGAAAGCTCCTGAAATTTTTTCGTTCCTGAACCGTGCATACGCGACACGCTGACTTGCCATGACTGTGCTGCAGAGACGCTGGTAAAGAGACGTGAACCAACACCGTTGTAGAAACCTGCACTCTATCTGATGCAGAAAACTTTACTACAAGCCATATCTGGTTACATGTCCTCCCCACAGATCACGGCACACACCTACATTATTTTCTTTAGCAAGAATGGTCTCATGAGTGTTGGGGAATGATCTAGAAAGGCTAAGCAAGTATACTGGCGATTGGTAGGGCTCTCAAAGAAAACATTAAAAAAAAAAAAACTATTTGCAGAGAGCATGAAAAGTACTTCTCAAACAGCCAACGGAAACAGCTGTGCAGCTTTGATTTCGATTGCAACAAGAGAAAAGCTGCCTAACGAACGATAAGAATCTTTGTTGCAGATGTGTGACAATGACGGAGAAGTGTGACCATGGAGGGCAACATGTCTTCCTTACTCGACTGCACGCTGTCGCACAAATCATAAGAAATAAATGAAACTGTCCTTCGTGCTTGGCCACCATTTATTCACAATGCCTCTTTCTATGCTATTCTTTTTGCACTCTTGTCAGCGGTAGGATCTTCGTTCCACCCACATTTTCATGGTGTCAGCTGGGTGTGAAAGGAGACTGATAAAGAGTACCAGAAAGTGGAGCAGAAGGTATCTGTTACGAAATCGCAGTGACCCCTTATCTCTGACATTGGAAAGTTCTCAAGAGTCGCCTTGCAGAACTCCAGTGAATATTCAAACATTACCTACGTGTAAATTGAATATGGGTGGTTTGGATCGGTAAAAATCAAATGAAGCATAATTTACAGTAACCTGTCACGTTAAGGTTGCAACTGTCAATAACAGCAAACAGATCAGGAGATCTTGTCTTCTTTTGATGGAAAAAATGGGAGCGTTGGGGCACACTTCCGTATTTCGTCGGGCGTACTGTCTTTTAAGCCGGTTGATCTTAGAACAAGGTTTTCAGATTTTACAGCTGCATGGTCACCACCATTCCCAGCCTATTTGACGTCCACAGCAGCGCAAGGGCCTCTCCCGATCAACCTAAGTTTACCCTATCACGCACAAGCAGATACCGTTTCACACCTGCAAACTTTTTAATTTTGTCAGAACATCCAATAAGCCGCCATCCTCATCGTCATTTCCCATTTCTCAGTGTCCATTTCATCGAAATAAGGTGACCAACGGGTGTCTGCCCTACACAATTGGTGGCCAGACCAGATTTTTTTTTTCTTGCTTGATGTTGACCACAATAATGGCAGCACCTCTTGGTTCCCTGACCCATTCCGCCATTCTCCGATATCTTTAGGTTACATTTTCCATTCCATTGCCCACCACATGGTCCACGTTTCCTCTGGCATCATCTTCATAGTCTCGGCCCCATATTTTAGTACTCACAAAACAACGACTCCACACTTTTCGCTTTACAAACAGCAGCAGACCTGCCTGTGATGATTTGGGAATGCCAGCCAAATGCGCTCTAGCCCATTTGTGCACCGTTGAATGTTCGTTTCATGTGTAAGGCTTCCCTGTGTCTAATTGACCTCGACATACATATACTGTTTCGTAGATTTTAAGAGGCCTGCCGCAAATCGTGAACTTTTCTTTAGTCAGAAAATTGAGCATATCTGTTTTCAGCAGATCCATAATTTGGCCTAGTTTAACACTTTATCGATGAGAGTCTTCAATGGCATTTTGCAAATAGTCGTCATCCATTGTGAATCAGCAATGTGTCCTCTGCAAACTGTAGGTTGTCGTTTATATTCTGTTGATTGTTATTTCTATTTCTTACCAACCCCGTTGTTAGAATGCTGATATGAAAACTGATGGAATTTTGCCTGCCAAGACCACAATATAATTATGAGGCATATCGTGGTCAGAGGCTCTGGAAAATTAGAACTACCTGGCGTTCTTCAATGTCATTTTAAGAACAGTGCAGTGAACAGAAACATGTAGTGACCAAGATATCTCAATTTTCCTTTTCTCAGGTGCAAATAAAAAAACTGTGATCCAGAAAAATATGCAGCATGTATGTTAAGAACTGTAAAGTGTGTTTTGCAGACGGATAATGCCGATCAATGTGTTATCTTGCAAATATCAAGTTTGCTAAGTGTATGGGTCCTAGACTTTTAGATGTAGCAAAGTGAGGAAGTGGCGCATGCCAATATATAATAATCATACATAGTGTTCTGCTCCTGTTATAATACAAACTGTTCCTCATACCTGTTTATACACATTATTTCGCTGAGCGACTGGTACCTGTTTATACAATTTATGCGCATAAACTATGAGGGTTTCTTTCATGGCTCACAAATGTGATATTTTTTTTATTGCTGCAAATGATATCATGTTAACCTGGGCAGGCGCTCGTGTTATAATTTCTCATACAGACACACGCGCGCACGCATATATATATATATATATATATATATATATATATATATATATATATATATATATATATATATATATATATATATATATATAATATATATATATATATATATATATATATATATATATATATATGTGGAGTGTAAAGACGGTGTGGTCTTGTTGGGGCATTGGAAGATTTTGGCCATGGCCAATGCGTCTAAAAGCATGTGATCCACTCGCTGAATAAATTTGATGCTTTTGAAGTAACACATCGATAGCCATAATTAATGGCCAGGACAAATTTTTTAATGAAATGTTTGCAATAAAGGTTACGAAGAACAAATTCAGAAAAACTTCAGCCGCAAGAAGTGTTGCGCCTGTCAACTCACTTCAATCGCGAAGCGATATGCGCCACCTACTCTTGATAACTCGAAAGTCCGCGAACTGAAACGTGAGACCTATTGTAAAGACAAAAGGCGTTATCGGCAAATAAATCGTGGCGGATAAAGCAACTACCGCGCGCGTAATCAACGCACGCGACCGGAAATCGGGCGATAAGGGAAGCCGCGATAACGAAACGGCGTTGTCGGCATATCATTTCACACCACCGTCCAACGTCGTACCCTACTTCAGGCACCCAGGCGCGGAAAACGGCAGGCATGCGAGCATGTTAGCTACATCGAACAGCTGGCTGCTCGCAAAAGCAACAGCGAGGTTGTTCTGAAAGGAAAAAACTTCCGCCACATGCGCTTGCAAAGCACTGTATCACTTAATTAAAGTTGCAAGACAGAGTTGGCACGCAGTGAGCGTACTGTCCCGAAACCAAAGTGAAACGAGTAAAAAACGGGTAAACAGCCGACTTTCAATCGACGCACTCGTGAGCGGCTGCGTTATTTAATTATAGAAAAGAATAAACACACCCGTGCGTTGGCTTGACAAATGGCGAGCGCTATAGGCACGTGCGTCAGCGAAACGGCCTGCAAAACAACACGCTACTCGCGAAGCACCTAATCATGAGTCACAGCCACCTTATACACGAGAATGCGCCGCGCCGCGTCTCGCGGCGGGGTTTCGCGCGGACACAGCTGTCGGCACGCGACAAAAAAAGGAACCTTCCCGCGCGTGATACAACGAACTGACACTCACCGATGCCCGCGCCGACGATGAGGCGTCCTCCGAGGAGCATTCCCTTGTTGAAGGCTAGCCCCATGAGCAAGGCGCCGACCGTAAACACGAAGCTGGCCACGAGTATGACGGGTTTGCGTCCGAACGAGTCCGTCGCCATGCCAGCGACGATCGCGAACGCCCATGCCCCCGCGATGGTGACCGAAACCACGAGCTCCTGCCACAGGTAGTTGAGCTGGAAGTGGCTCCTCAGCTGAATCATGGCACCGGACACGACGCCCGTGTCGTAGCCGAAGAGGAAACCCCCGACTGCCGAGAGAATGGTGGTGCATATCAGCAGCCGCGTGACGGGAGCCCTGGGTTTGGACGCGGGTCCGTCGACTACGATACTTCGACGCTCTTCCTCGCCTTCGTTTTGGAAGCCATTCATGTCGTACTTGGTCTCGCGCGCCAGCTTCCACGGTGCGGGCTACGATCGCTCGTAGCGGCCAGGTTAAGTACGTGTCGTGTCGGTTTAATTGGTTACGTTAACTAGAGCGGGGAACGCGAAAACTGCACCGCCCCGCACCACCTCCTGACAGCCGCACTTCACGCTCGCTTTCAGCCGCCTCGTAAGGAAATCAACTGCTCCTCGCTCTCGCCTGGCGAGAGAGTGGAATTAGTTGCATGGAACGACCGCAAGAGAGCGAAGTTGTTTTTTTTCCCCGGAAGTTCAGCTGACGAGCGTTCCGCGGCGCTACAATCGGCGTCGTTTCTGGTTCTTTCACGCCGGTGTATTGTATCACAAAATGATCAACACTACTATAAAGGATTTTTTAACCATTACCAGGATAAAACCCAGACTGTACGAACGTCCAAATAGGAATCGAAGTTTCTTCAGAAAGCAGCGTTTCCTTTGTCAAACGCCAACGCGACGCGAAGTGTGGCATTCCCGCAACACGTGTATTGTTGCGGAGAAGCCCACACTACAATCCTTATCATATTTTTTGGGCGTTCGCACTTTCTATAGCTTTTTTAAACAGATAATTATTGTGATTTCTATCAGGTAAACAACTCATGTACATCTTTCATTCTCTAACCCAAGCGTTTGCATACTGAGCAGGCAGAATACGAAGCGCAGACACTTGCAGATGCTAAATGCATGCTGCAAACATGATACTGCCATGTCGGAGGTCGACACAACTCGCTTTACATGGGGTATAGGATTACACTCACATCATTTGTTACAAAAAATGCCATTCGTTTCCAGCATCCCAAACGAATGTAACGATTTCTAAAACGTCGAGATTCTTACAGGCACTTACTGCATCCTCTGGATACTTATCTGGAGAGGCTTAGCATTGCATCCGGGATCTGGTGCAACCCACACCACGCATTCTTGGAAGCCATTCAAGTACGCACCTTTTCCTCTGATCTATGTACGTAAGTCTAAAATGTGTGGCTCTATAATATGAGAATGTGGTGATTAATCATGTATCTCTACTTTAACGCGTGCAGTCTTGTATGGCTTCGGACCCTTCGGTGCGCTAAACTTATCGAAAAGAAAAAAACACCAGCTATTCATTTCCAGTGCTCACAAACGAGTCCGGAAATGTTGACCAAAAATTTTACCGCCAAGGTTTTAAGCCAAATTAAAAGGCCGAGTGTGAAAATCGATAGACACGACCTTCCTTTGAGGCACAAACTGGAGAAAATTATTGAATTTAATGCGGCCACACCGTCAACTAGAGGTCATGATTATGTTACATTTTGCAAGAGAGACTAAAGAGAAAAGCAGGATGGTTGACGCTTGCCGGGGTTAAGTACACTGGAAACGAGCATATCAACAATGCCAACCGGCGTCTCTCAATCCACTCAGATCTACTATGATTCCAAGAACCACTACGAACAGCAACTACAGCGAACATCGGCTGGGGTAAGGCATCAACGTTTTCGTGGAAGAGCGGAGTGCAATAAAACGAGAGGTGAATAACGAGTGGAGGAGGACAGGAACCACCCTGCTTTGTGGTGTACACGTATCCCGAAGGAGTACGGCCACCAGCGTGGGTCCGGTCTTAGCGAGCCGCAGGGCACGCGTTAACCGTCGCCGTGGCGGGAAACACGATACTGCTCAAGTCGCAACACTTTATTGTGGCAACACCAAACGCAGTACAGCCCGTTGCAAATAGGCGCGGCGGGAAAGCAAGTAGGCTTATCCACGCCACGGGCACAAAGTACTACACAGGGGTGCCACGAGCACGTCTCCGCGGTAAAGCCGATCCACGGAGACACCGGAGCAAAGGCCCGGTTGCTCGAGCGAGGGCAAAGGCGCTCGCGTTGGCTTCGAAGGGAGACGGGTCGGCGTAGCGAGGCCACGCACTAGGACACCGTACCGCCCTTCGGCCGTGCGTACGCAGCGGGGCAACAGCGGGTGAGCGTTCGCCTTGGGCGCGAGGCGCCGTCAGCGAAGTCCGACGAGCCCCGACTGACGGGAGTCGACGGACGAAAAGATAGCGTGGCTCACCGTTTGCTGTCCCGGAGAGTATCTGACCGCTCCCGACGCAGCGCGCGAAAACCTCCCAGGGGTCCCCGCGTGCGGCGCCACAGTCAACATCCGCTACCGGGTGAGGGAGTTATACGTCACTCCGCCCTTCCCAGCGCGGCAGACAGCAAGGAGGGCAGACATGTCGGGACATGAGAACGGCAGAAAAGGCGGGAAAGCCCGCTTAAAGGCAGCGGGCCAGCCTCAATTCCCACATCCCCCTCTCCTAAATTTGCCCTTTACCGGTCTGCAAAAGGCAGCCGGGCGTCACCCATGCAGTTAAAATGACACTGCTATGAGCGACAGCTAACCTCAGTCCAGCCCTGCTACTGCTGCTAAAAAAATGATTACAAGGAGAAACAAAACATAAATAACAAAATAAACACATGACACTATACAAATAACTGCGGAAGGGAGCACAGCAACGTGGCACTAGTGTTCGTGGTGCTGAAGGGGGATAGCGTCCAGTGCGCGGAGGGGCGGTAAAGGCGTGACAGTGTCCGCTGGGTGCGATGCCCGAGTGCGAGGTCAGAGGTACGGGAGGGGGCTCACTGATGGCTCGTTGCTGGTCTTGATAAGCAGCGAGTCCGACGAACGCTGCCTCGGCTGTGCTTCGGAGGCCCCCGCATTTCTGGCTCGATGATGAAGCTGGAACGTTGCGCGAAGCCGGGCCTCTCCAGTGCTCAGGGAGGCCGACCCAAATTGGCTGCGAATGGCGTTGGCCGCCAGCATATAGCTGCTTTCAGCTGGCCTCGCGCAGGAGCCATGGTGGTAAAGGCAGCGGGGCTTCTTCGACGACGGCCGAGAGCAGAGCACAGCCAGATGGTCTGACGTCAGTGGGTCAATGACCCCCCAGCACCTCCAGCGTCCGCATCGATGGGGGGAAGCCATGACGCACTCTTCGCGGGCTCGCACTGAAGCGTCACGCACTTACACACGCACACACACCGCCGACGGCTGCGCGAGCGTAGGCGCAAAGCGTCCTTCGTCTCTCTCCCCCGGCAAGCACCGACACTCAAGGTCACACACAGCTCCCTTCGCGGTAGACGAAACGAATACGGAAAAAAAAAGTAAAAACAGAGCAAAACGACACTCAACATCTGGCGAAAAAACATAAAACACAAATAACACTTAATATTAGACAAAAGAAACATAAAATACACATGAACACTTCAAAAAAAAAAAAAGCACTGGCAGCAGACAGGGCGGGGTCAACTTCTTTACGAGAAAAGGCCGTAAAGAAGCTAACCTATACTGAGGCTAGACAGTAAACTGAGGGCCTTCGGTTGCGGAGAAGTCCGCCGTCCGGCGCGAAATCACAAAGGTGACCGCTTCCTCAGATTATACCGGCGCGGGGTCCGAATGCGGTCCGTCGCTCCGGGTGTGCCCGTTGCTTGCGCGAAGTGCCGCAGGGCACTGGCGCGAGCTCGTCAGACCGTGACAAAGGGCTTCAGGTCTGCGATGTGGGCACGGCTGAGTTTTCCCAAAGGGGATCTTTCAGCTAGTACGCGCCACGGACGCTCACTGACAATCGGTTCATAAGACCGGGCGGCTTTCCAACCCTTGGCTCAACCGTTTGTCAGACGTGGCAGGCACGGAATAGCGATAAAAGCCACGCTTCGTGCCGGGCCAGGTCACAACATTGCTCAGTTTGCAAAAACTTTCGAGCCACTCAGGTGACCGGCCATGGATTCGTCGTGAGAGGATCGCAACAGTGCGGCTCTCAGACTTTTGGGCATAACCACCTTAAACGGGTCGCTGGACTCGTCGTCAGTGGCTATATAGTTCAGCAGGAGCCCGTCATGGTCCAGCAAAATGAATCCGCCGGGGACTCAGCGACACACGCTGGTTCGAGCCCCCTATTCGCGCCCGCTGCAGGGCAAGCAGCGTCACGGCGCTCCGTCTCGTCGAGACAGTCGTTATCGACGCCCGCTGCAGGACAAGCAGCGTCACGGCGCTCCATCTCTCTGAGACCGTCGCATATTTCGCGACAAAACGGGTCACTTTGCTGGGCCTTCAGAAGCTCTTCTCTGCTGAAAGCGATGCCCATTCTCCCAAAATAGGGGAGTCTGGTATCGCGCCCACTCAGGACCGCAGCAACAACCGCTTGAGTCGGCGTTACGGGTTCGCTCTCGGCCTCGTGGCCTTCGGAAAGCTCCCCCGCTCGGCCGCTTCGCGGTGCGCCGCTTACCTGGTTAGCAGCCAAGGTTTGTCCGCATGGGGACTCACCCTTCACGCCGAACGGCGGCGAAGCTGCTGTTTCGCCCCCGACGCTTGCAAGTGCTAAGGCACCGCTAGCGGCGGTCGCACCGGGATCAAGGTCCTCGGCCGACAGTGGGGCACGAGATAGCGCGTCAGCTACCACGTTGGTGCTCCCCTTTCGATACTGCACCGAAAAGTCATAGTGCTGTATCAGGAGAGCCCAGCGCGCCAGCCTGCCGGCAGGCTCACGGAGCCGCATCAGCCAGCTGAGCGCACTGTGATCCGTTTGCACTACGAATTTCGTCCCATCAAGATAGACGTCAAACTTCCGCAGTGCAAACACGATGGCGAGGCACTCCTTTTCGGTCACGGAATAATTTTTCTCCGCAGAGACCAAGGAGCGGCTGGCAAAGGCCAACGGCTGCAACACGCCATCGTATTCCTGTAGGAGAACAGCTCCTAAACCCAGATCGCTCGCATCAGTCTGTACAACGAACGGTCTGGTCAGGTCGGGGAGCTTGAGCTGCGCTGTCTCCGCTATGGCGTTAGACAGTCGGCAAAACGCCTCCTGCTGCTCAAGTCCCCATTGCCACTCGGCAGACCTACCCAAGAGTTTGCTCAAGGGCGCCTGCAGTCGGGCACAGGACGGAATGAAGGAACGGTAAAAGTTGACCATTCCTAGAAAGCGGCGAAGGCCACGTACGTCCTTGGGCACGGGAAATTCGAGAATAGCTCGAAGTTTCTCCCGATCCGGCTCTATGGAGCCTTCGCCCAGCGTAAACCCGAGCAAATGAACACGGGTCTGCGCTAATTGGACCTTAGCGGGGTTAAGTGTCATCCCGGCGGTCCGCACCCTCTCGAGCACATCGGCAACATGGGCC